AATAGAGGTAAATCACTATGTTCTTTGTTTAAAATTTGCATATGTTTTGAAGTTTACAATTTTTATTTGAAGTTTAAGTTTTAAAAACAGTTCATCACACATATTTGTGGTTTAATTTCACATTAATTTCCATATTGTATAAATGACTGGAAAAAACTTGAGCCCCTGCCCCTGTATAATCATGTGCACGTCCCTGTTCTAGCTCCAAGGTGAATCTTCACTGCTCATGTTCTCCTCAGAAATAGTCACCTCACTCCCCTCAGGTTACTGTACACATGCACCAACTATCTGCTTCAGGTTTGGATGGAGCTTCATGGTTGTCTTTTGGAGAAATGAACAGTCAAGTTGTGTTTGAAATCTGATTTTTTTCAGGGGCAAAAGGAAGCCTCTGCATTCTTGTCAAATATGTAAACAGCATGTTTTTGCAGGTGCTAAAAAACAGACTCTGAGTGTGTGTGTGTGTGTGTGTGTGTGTGTGTGTGTGTGTGTGTGTGTGTGTGTATGTGTGTGTATCCTGCAGTACTCTGTACTCCTGCAGTGGCCAAAAAGACTTTTAAGAATGTGGATTTTTGGGTCATCTTTGGCGCCCCCTAGAACTGCAGTACTCTGTACTCCTGCAGTGGCCAAAATGACTTTTAAGAATGTGGATTTTTGGGTCATCTTTGGCGCCCCCTAGAACGTAAACCGTGGGGTGCAGCGTCATGATTTTTACAACTTTGAATGGGCATGGGGTGTAGATTGCCCTGAGCAAATTTGGTATCGGTGGGACGAAAGCCTTAGGAGGAGATAGCCACATTCCAATGTGTGCGAATCGGCAAAAAATGCGAAATAGCCCTTTAACCGTACATTATACAGATACGCGCTTTTTGACTTTTTCGTAGATCTAATTGAGATACACATGATTGTCAATTTTTGTGTCAATATGACAAAGCGTTCAGGCGTGACACTCAACAATGTGTATTTTCATGTAAGGGGACAAGAAAAAATTGACTTTTTTCTCCTGCCATGGGGGGGCGCTCTTTTGGGGAGTAAAAATTCCTTCACAAATGTGTTGATGGCTGGACATTGCATCATCCTAGAGAACTTGGAGGCCAGTGAGGACAAAAATAAAAAGTTATAAGACTTTTAAGACTGTGGATTTTTGGGTTATCTTTGGCGCCCCCTAGAACGTAAACTGTGGGGTGCCGCGTCATGATTTGTACAACTTTTAATGGCCATGGGGTGTAGATTGGCCTGAGCAAATGTGGTGCCGGTGGAACGCCAGCCTTAGGAGGAGTTAGCGAAATTCCAATGTGTGCGGATCAGCAAAAAATGCGGAATAACCCTTTAACCGTACATTTGACAGATACGCGCGCATTGACTTTTTCGTAGATCTTATTGAGATACATGTGTGTGTCAAATTTTGTGTCAATATGACAAAGCGTACAGGCGTGACACTCAACAATGTGTATTTTCACCTTAGGGGACAAGAAAAAATGGACTTTTTTCTCCGGCCATGGGGGGGCGCTCTTTTGGGGAGTAAAAATTCCTTCACAAATGTGTTGATGGCTGGACATTGCATCATCCTAGAAAACTTGGAGGCCAGTGAGGGCAAAAATAAAAAGTTATAAGACTTTTAAATATGTGGATTTTAGGGTTATCTTTGGCGCCCCCTAGAACCTAAACCTTTCTGCTTGTTTTGATCACGTTCGGCGCTCGATCGCGCTGTATGAGACAGGAAAACATAGCATGCACACATTAGTGACAGGTCTTACAGGCGGAAAAGGCTTGCCAAAAGAAAAAAAAAACACACCACAACATCTCTCCTATTGGTGGAAAACTTCACCACAACAACCAATCCAAAATTATATGGTGACTGATTGACAAGGGGCGGGCGCTTACGTTCTTCCTGCAACATGAGAAGGGAGGGAGGGACTCTCAGCAGGGATGCAGTCTGGGACACGTAGTTGCAAACCTAGCGACTTTGTTGTTAGATTCAATTACTTTTCAGACCCCCTAACGACTTTTTTTAGAAAGAAAGGGACTTTTATCGACTTCTTCTGGAGTTTAGAGACTCTGACATGAAGCAGGCTTTCCTTACTGAGGAGTTAGCAACGCTGCTAAGGGTGCAGAGCCACACATGCGCTCCGAGCTCTGCATGGGAGACTGAAGCTGACAGAGCTGCAGCAGTTAGCAGGTTTCACCCTCAGAGACCACCAGGGGTTCATGTTGAGGCATTTTCAGTTTTTGTTTTTTTTGCCATAGACTGTCAGCACAATCTGCAGTTACACTAACAAAAATGCTGCAAAAAACAAAGAATTATGGAAAAATTACACATGGACTGACATAGAGGAGGATCTACACAAGTTTTTTACATCATGTTTTACATCATGCATCATTTACATCATGTTTTTTTGTAGTGGCATAAATAAAAAGTGACATTTGTGAGACTATACAGTGTTTTGTAAATAATTTTACAAAGAACGCCTGGGCCATTGCCTGCATTTTGATGTAAATAGAGGTAAATCACTATGTTCTTTGTTTAAAATTTGCATATGTTTTGAAGTTTACAATTTTTATTTGAAGTTTAAGTTTTAAAAACAGTTCATCACACATATTTGTGGTTTAATTTCACATTAATTTCCATATTGTATAAATGACTGGAAAAAACTTGAGCCCCTGCCCCTGTATAATCATGTGCACGTCCCTGTTCTAGCTCCAAGGTGAATCTTCACTGCTCATGTTCTCCTCAGAAATAGTCACCTCACTCCCCTCAGGTTACTGTACACATGCACCAACTATCTGCTTCAGGTTTGGATGGAGCTTCATGGTTGTCTTTTGGAGAAATGAACAGTCAAGTTGTGTTTGAAATCTGATTTTTTTCAGGGGCAAAAGGAAGCCTCTGCATTCTTGTCAAATATGTAAACAGCATGTTTTTGCAGGTGCTAAAAAACAGACTCTGAGTGTGTGTGTGTGTGTGTGTGTGTGGGCCTATGTGGTATAGCCGGACTTTTGACCTGAATACATACCAGCGCTCCGCGGACCATTGGGATTAGCCGGACCTTGCCAAGGTCCGGCTAATTCGGAAAGTGTATCTGCATTAGTCAGTATCTAACTAACATATTTTCCAATTTTCTCTGATGGTCCATATATACCACTTGACCTGATTTCCAGTGTATCCCAGTGTATCAACATGCGCACCCTGTAGGCTGGGATGAAACTGCAGGATCTTACACATTTTTGATACACACGGTGCAGTTTTGGCGGGCTGGCTTGTGATTGGCTGGTGGAGATGTGTGGGCGGGACTTATATGACGTCGGGTCTAAGCTCCGCCCACACCCGCGGTGAACCGAGAGAACAGCAGCACATGATCCACAGCATGGATTAAGAGATATATTGGGATAGTTTCTTTATGAAGGTAAGCATTTATTTGTGTTTCATTGTCATATTTTCTGTTTAGGGACACTTAGGGAGAGACAGCCTGTTTTATTGAAGTGGAAAACTTTGACATGGAGCCACAATGACTTTGATAGCTTAGCTTCTAGAGGTACTTAGCTGCTTCTCAACTAAAGGAGACAGCAGGTGGAGAGAAATGTATTTGCAATGACTTTGCCCTGATTTTATAAGTTTGTATGATATATTGTTTGTTGCAACTGATAGTTTTCTTGACTTGGTGAGCTAACAATCTAAACAACATGTGGCTGTGGCTGCTTGTTTAGCCTCGTTAAAGGCATGCACATTAGCAGGCCCTGCCTTATTAAGTAGCTGTGATAATTTAATATGTTAGCTGTGACTGTGCTTGTTTTACTCCATGAGTTTGTGCATGCATGCTCTATGAGAGGACTGAATCTGTAAATGGTTAACTAGCTTTAAAAACTCCTACTGTTGTGATCAGGCCTTTATTTATTGCGCAGAGAACTTATCTATGTTATGTCTAGATTAAAAGAGTATGATTTAGTGTGTTAAGTGTTCAAGTTTGGGTGCAGAAATGAATAATAAATATGTTCTGTGGCAACCAGCAGGCCAAAGTCTGCTGGATGACTCTGATATAAATTTATCCGTTGGATCATTTCACATAGAGGAGATAGACTTAGCTTTGAATCTGTTATTATTTATGAGTGGCAAGTCAAGATGGATATTTGGCTGGTACATCCTTAAATGTGTGTTTCTGGCTAAAAAAGTTGTCTCAATTCATTTTATCAGAGTAATTTCTGTAGAATCTAATAAATTTGTCTGATGTCAGAGGAACACCACCACTGATTTCTTTCATTGTCATGTTTGCATGCCATGGGCTTGGTGATTAATTTTTTAATGACCTTAAACACTTAAACAAATAGTAATAATAATAATAAAAAACAAAGTGACTGATATATCGTATAACAAAGATTCACATAATGCTTTATCCAACCAAATATAAGTGTACAATTAATTAGAATTTTAATTCAAATGGTTATGAACATGCTTAGACTGAACAAGAAAAAATGATATAGAATTATACAAAGAAGAGAGATTTATTAGAATATTCAATCTTAGAAAAAACAGGGTCACGAGTCAACATTTTTCCTTTTTTCCTGTCTGCTTTTTTTTTCGGTTGGCAAGCCAGGCTATGAATTTTCAGTGATGACATAAAGTCAGAGAAATATTCACATGTTCTCATACTGATTTAGTGGTGCCCTATTAGAAACTGCCTATTTTTAAGCAGTGGTTGGCAGGATAAAGGTAAGTCTGAATTTGTTTAGGCACACCTGAAGAATATCACTTGTTAAACTAACTGTGTGGTAATAAAAGAAGACTGGAGGGCTATACTGCTTCTTTTTTAGAGGTAGGGTATTAAATTAAATTCAAATATGTTTAAAAGTATTTACAAGTTGCACTGAGAAGCTCGTCTTTTGTCCATATTTTGCCCCACATTGCCACTCCTTTCAACTTACAGCTAGTTCTGTTCTTGATTTTCATTCAACTGAGCTCTATGATTCTCAAAATAATCTTTATTACTTCAGGATCTACATGCCAGTAAGACATGCACAGGAAAAGACGAGTCAGTCCAAAGACAGAGGCAAAACTGTATGTTTCCACTAAAAGGGACAAAGCGGGACTCGATGTCAAATACATCAACAGTTTTAAAGGTGAGTTGAATCCTTTGAAAGTTTAATCATTCTATAACTTTCTTTAAATTCTCTCTCATTTGTATTTCTTATGTGACCCAGGTCGGGGTATCTTCACTTCTGCTCCTTTTGAAAAAGGAGATTTTCTGTTAGAATACAGAGGTGACCTAATAAGTCAGCAAGAATGTGAAAGGAGACTACACCTATACCATGACCACCTGAAGGCATTCATGTTCGAATTTCGTTATAATGGAAAACTGTGGTGGTGCGTATTGTTTCATTGGGTTTTTATTTGATCAAAGTTACACTTCTTTTCTAATGTGCTGAGCATACAGATATATTTTTAAGGAAAGCCCTTGTGTTACCTCTATTAAACTACCAAGGTAGATCAAATTAGACACTTACGTTGTTATTTCTGTTTTTATAGTGTTGATGCAGCACAAGAGGATGGGTCACTTGGTAGACTTGTGAATGATGACCATAAGGCCCCTAATGCCAAAATGAAGTACTTACACATGGAGGGAAAGCCTCATCTGTGTCTGTTTGCAGCTCGAGACATTAGCCCAGGAGAAGAAATAACTTATAACTATGGTGATTCAGACTGGCCATGGAGGCACAAGGTGTTAATTTTCTTTCTTTGGAAAACTTAATATGTCCCTGTTTAATTTGTATTAGTGTATTTAGTCTTAACGCTAACTTTTTTTTGCCAAATAAAAGGGCTGAGATTGACAATCTAACTGATTTAAACAGAGTAAACTGAGTCAAGTTAAACACATGACAATAGCTGTTGTCAAACAGTTTTTAAAGCTTTGATTTAAGATGAACTAATTAAGTTTAGTAAAAAATAAACAAAATTACTACAAACAAAAAAAAAATTCAGAAAAATAGCTGTAATGCCTCCCTCAAAGGGAAATTTAAGGAAAAAAACTTTCATAATGACATCTCCTCTATCTTCTTGCAGAGGCTTGATGAGGACAAGCCTCAGAATGTGTCCAAAGTTACAGATTCACAGTCTACAGCTGCAGATGCTAAAGAGGTAAACTGTCATAAAAACTGTATTTGGTTATATTTAGGCTAGTCTGTCTCACAAAGTTTACCAGGACAATTAAATCAAAGTTGTCTCACTGTAATCATGTCAGCACTATAATTGCTTGATTAAAAAATGCACAAGTTTCCATTCTGAGTTATCTTTGTTTGTACCTGTCAATTAATTTGATCTAGATGTTGATGCTGGAGACTAAGGGTAACTTGATCAAAACTTCACTGAGCTTTCCAATCCAGACACTGAAAAGTCCTGCAAGGGGTCCACCCAACCAACATGAGGAGGTGAGTTTAAACCTGCTGCAGAGCTTTTTGATACCCAATGATGTCCACATCAGTCTCCTGATTATCTTAAATAGAGCATAATGTAGAACGTCAGATCAGGACATAACCAAGCATGTTTCTGTAAATTAAAATAATTATATGAAATGAAGTTGTGTATGCTTATGCCAGGAAATTTCATTTTTATATTTGAAACTAAGAGTAGAATCTCAGCATCTTCTCTGAAAATCAAAAAATCACAAGATCTTCCTCTTAAATGTTTCCAATCAGAGCCTTAATGAGGAAAGGTCTCAGAGAGTGTCTAAAGTTACAGATCTAGAGTCTACAGCTGCAGGAGCTAAAGAGGTAAACTGTTGTAATTTTTTATTTTTTTAAATCGTAACAGTATGATTGCTTTTTTCAAAAGAACAAGTTTCCATTCTGACTTGCCTTTGTTTGTACTTGTTAACTAATTTGATCTAGATGTTGATGCAAGAGACTGAGAGCAACTTGACTCCAATATCACTGAGCTTCCCAAACCAGACCCTGAAAAGTCCTGCAATGGCTCCCCTCAATCAACATGAGGAGGTGAGATTAAACCTGCTGCAGAGCTTTCTGAAACCCATATCCACATCAGTCCCCCTCTCAAGCCTTAGTGTACAGTATCATCAGCAAGTGTATGCAGTAAGTTTAAATCAGGATTAAAACAGGCATGGATTTCAAAATTTACAGATAATTTTAAGGGAATTTTTAATATTCAAACCAGAAAATAAGATTGTTGCAACTGAAATCACCTGAGGACACACGTCTCCTCTTTGAAAGAATGTATGTGATATAATTTTAAGGGACACTGTTGTGTAGGGACTGTAATGTAGTCTAAAATTCAAAGTTCGTCAGTATTTCAATCAGGAGGGTGTGTGTGTAACTAAATAATATACGTTTTATCTGGGCAGTGTTATGTAGGGACTTTCACATATAAAACAATCACAAGTTTTATATCAATGTTAGAATCAGTAGGGTGTATGTGTATCTGAATGTGATGTGGTTTAAAGGGACACTGTTTTGTAGGGACTTTCACAGAGAGTACATTTTAAAGTCTTGAGTCAGTGTAAGAATCAGTTGAGTGTATGTGTATGTCAATTTGATATGGTTTAAAGGGACACTGTTATGTAGGGACTTTCACACAGAGTACAATCACAAATCTTGAGTCAGTGTAAGAATCAGTTGAGTGTATGTGTATCTGAATGTGATATGGTTTAAAGGGACACTGTTTTGTAGGGACTTTCACACAGAGTACAATGTCAAGATTTTAAGTCAGTGTAAGAATCAGTTGAGTGTATGTGTATCTGAATGTGATATGGTTTAAAGGGACACTGTTATGTAGGGACTTTCACACAGAGTACAATCACAAGTCTTGAGTCAGTGTTTGAATCAGTTGAGTGTATGTGTATGTCAATGTGATATGGTTTAAAAGGACACTGTTATGTAGGGACTTTCACACAGAGTACAATGTCAAGTTTTTAAGTCAGTGTAAGAATCATTCGGGTGTATGTGTTACTTAATGATATATGGTTAATCTGGGCAGTGTTAGGGACTTTCACAGAGAGTACAATGTCAAGTTTCTAGGCAGTGCAAGAATCAGCAGTGAAATGGTCTAAATTTATAAAATACAGTATGAACAGATGTGTGTGTGCAATAACAAAAAAGCCTTCTAAAAATCTGTGAGTCAGTGTAAGTATATAAAAGCTGCAACTGTTAACAAATGTTAGCTCGTCTATCTGTTAAGTTTATATATGGACATTTCATTCAGTGTACTTAGAAGCTCAGGTAACTGTGCTCATAAGTTATCAAAAGCTGTATTCCCTGATAACCAGAAATGCAGAGGATTAGTTTTCATACTATACAATTTTGGACATTTGCCTGAATAAATGGACTAAAATTGAAATCTTTTTTTTTTCAATGTACAACTCAGAAATCCATTTAAAAGGGCTTTAACATCATGGTCCATAGAAAGATTCTGATATATATATTAAAATCCCCTCCTTTTTTTCTGATTAGAGCCCTGATAAGGACAAGCCTCACAAGTTGTCTGAAGTTACAGATCTAGAGTCTACAGCTGCAGGAGCTAAAGAGGTAAACTGTTGTAATTTTTTATTTTTTTAAATCGTAACAGTATGATTGCTTTTTTCAAAAGAACAAGTTTCCATTCTGACTTGCCTTTGTTTGTATTTGTTAATTAATTTGATCTAGATGTTGATGCAGGAGACTGAGAGCAACTTGACTCCAATATCACTGAGCTTCCCAAACCAGACCCTGAAAAGTCCTGCAATGGCTCCCCTCAATCAACATGAGGAGGTGAGATTAAACCTGCTGCAGAGCTTTCTGAAACCCATATCCACATCAGTCCCCCTCTCAAGCCTTAGTGTACAGTGTCATCAGCAAGTGTATGCAATAAGTTTAAATCAGGATTAAAACAGGCATGGATTTCAAAATTTACAGATAATTTTGAGGGAATTTTTAATATTCAAACCAGAAAATAAGATTGTTGCAACTGAAATCACCTGAGGACACACATAATCTTTTTGAAAGATTGTATGTGATATAATTTTAAGGGACACTGTTATGTAGGGACTGTAATGTAGTTTAGAATTCAAAGTTCGTCAGTATTTGAATCAGGAGGGTGTGTGTGTAACTTAATTATATACGTTTTATCTGGGCAGTGTTATGTAGGGACTTTCACATATAAAACAATCACAAGTTTTATATCAATGTTAGAATCAGTTGAGTGTATGTGTATCTCAATTTGATATGATTTAAAGGGACACTGTTATGTAGGGACTTTCACACAGAGTACAATCACAAATCTTGAGTCAGTGTAAGAATCAGTTGAGTGTATGTGTATCTCAATGTGATGTGGTTTAAAGGGACACTGTTATGTAGGGACTTTCACACAGAGTACAATGTCAAGTTTTTAAGTCAGTGTAAGAATCAGTTGAGTGTATGTGTATCTCAATTTGATATGGTTTAAAGGGACACTGTTATGTAGGGACTTTCACACAGAGTACAATGTCAAGTTTTTAAGTCAGTGTAAGAATCAGTTGAGTGTATGTGTATCTCAATATGATATGGTTTAAAAGGACACTGTTATGTAGGGACTTTCACACAGAGTACAATCACAAGTCTTGAGTCAGTGTAAGAATCAGTCGGTTGTATGTGTTACTTAATGATATATGGTTTATCTGGGCAGTGTTAGGGACTTTCAGAGAGAGTACAATGTCATGTTTCTAGGCAGTGCAAGAATCAGTGTGGTTATTGTCTAAATCTATAAAATAAAGTATGAACAGATGTTGGTGTGCAATAACAAAAAAGCCTTCTAAAAATCTGTGAGTCAGTGTAAGTATATAAAAGCTGCAACTGTTAACAAATGTTAGCTCGTCTATCTGTTAAGTTTATATATGGACATTTCATTCAGTGTACTTAGAAGCTCAGGTAACTGTGCTCATAAGTTATCAAAAGCTGTATTCCCTGATAACCAGAAATGCAGAGGATTAGTTTTCATACTATACAATTTTGGACATTTGCCTGAATAAATGGACTAAAATTGAAATCTTTTTTTTTTCAATGTACAACTCAGAAATCCATTTAAAAGGGCTTTAACATCATGGTCCATAGAAAGATTCTGATATATATATTAAAATCCCCTCCTTTTTTTCTGATTAGAGCCCTGATAAGGACAAGCCTCACAAGTTGTCTGAAGTTACAGATCTAGAGTCTACAGCTGCAGGAGCTAAAGAGGTAAACTGTTGTAATTTTTTATTTTTTTAAATCGTAACAGTATGATTGCTTTTTTCAAAAGAACAAGTTTCCATTCTGACTTGCCTTTGTTTGTATTTGTTAATTAATTTGATCTAGATATTGATGCAGGAGACTGAGAGCAACTTGACTCCAATATCACTGAGCTTCCCAAACCAGACCCTGAAAAGTCCTTCAATGGCTCCCCTCAATCAACATGAGGAGGTGAGATTAAACCTGCTGCAGAGCTTTCTGAAACCCATATCCACATCAGTCCCCCTCTCAAGCCTTAGTGTACAGTATCATCAGCAAGTGTATGCAATAAGTTTAAATCAGGATTAAAACAGGCATGGATTTCAAAATTTACAGATAATTTTAAGGGAATTTTTAATATTCAAACCAGAAAATAAGATTGTTGCAACTAAAATCACCTGAGGACACACATAATCTTTTTGAAAGATTGTTAAACTCATAAGATTGTCCACTTTCTTTGAATTCTGAACAAAAACTTCATGAGGGCAAGACTCAAGAAGTGTCTGAGGCCACAGATGCAGATTTGGAAGAATCTGCAACTGTGGACTTAGATCAGTGTACTTAGATCTAATTATCTTTTATAGAGCAACTGAATGGATAATTTTTTTTTTCTTCTTTGGTAGGTGATCCTTGAGACACCACAAAATCAGTTGGCTGGTCTAGGTCAAACGGATATGCAGGTCAATAGTATAAAGGTAAACTGCACTTTGAAATTTAAAGGATTTTCTCTGAAAACCAGGTTTATTTTACCTATGTGTAAATAATAAATACCTGCATTTGTATTATGGCAGAATTAAAATGCTATAATTACATTTTGTCAACAGTGTAAAAAACATCAACTGGTGTCTGCAAACGTTTCCACATTGGAAAAATGCATACAGTGTGTTGGACCAGTGTCCTCTTTAAGGTGGACTGGCTATCAGTGTCGAGGTGAGCTATTTGGTGAAGTCTTATACATTGTTTCAAAAGCTAATTATTATACATGTCAAGGGAAAAAATGAAATTACAGGGGCTAGAGAGAGAGCAAAAATGTAGTTATATATGTGAATAAAAGGGCAATCCTATTTTCTCTTAATAAGGTACTTAAATTTATATTTTGTTTTCAAATCCAAATTTTCTCTCACTTTAACCTCACTTGGTTCAGCTCTCTTACAGCAGCTCTAAAACCATCACAACCATCACGCTGCTTAAGGATCATACCAACACTGTTTTTATTGTTATGTATTTATTGTAGATTTACAATGAAATATATGAACCAGTCCTGTTATAGGGCTATTGTACATGCACATTGTGATTGAGGTAGTTTAACATTGCATGGTGCAATTGTACATTTGTCAACAATAATAAAACCTGACTTAAGTATAATGTTGATTAGGGAAAGGTTATTGCTTTTTGCTGCACACCAGATCGATGCAGTATTTTGATAAGACTACAACTAAATGAATGCACTTGAAATATGTTACAGTTTGTTCTGGAGTCTGGCATAAATCCTGCCTCAGAAGAATTACTGATGGTGATCTCCATGGCCTGTTAGAGGTAAGCATTCCCACTACCGTAAAATTGACAGTGTTCTTGACATTCTAGACTGATTTTCTCTCTCACTTTTTCAGTATTCTGGGAAAGAACTGCTTGCAGATGAGAACAGCAGTTCTGAAGACAGCCTGTCTGATAAGGACTACATACCAGACTCAGAGTCACTGGAAGAGGACCATGATGATTCAGACGCAAGCTTACCTTTAGCAGAGAATCCGAAGAAAGCTGTACAGCAAAAAAAAAAGCCAGTACTACCTGATATTCTGGCATCATGTGCTTTAGACTTAAGCTCTATGGCTGTCCAGAATACACCACACAGTTATCAGCCTTATAATGATGATGTTGCTGAAGAACTGGATTCAGTCAAGTCTGTCAAAGACTCATCAAAGGATAAGACGGAGGGCGGAGCTGAGTTTGACAACCAAGAAGTACCCCATCTGACCATGAGCATCAAAAACTATTGTTTCATATGTGGGAAACCACAAAGCAAAATTTCCCGGCACTTAAGAACTCATAAGGCACATCCTGAAATTGTCCACGCCTTTTCCCTGCCTGAGGACTCAAAAAAGCGAAAGATTCTAGTGGAAAGGATGAGGAATAAGGGCAATTTCAGACACAACACTACAGTTTTACAGAGTGGGACTGGAGTTCTAAAGGCAAAGAGAGCACCAAAGGCTAAAGCACAGACAGGACACTTCATTCACTGTATGTATTGTCAAGGGATGTACATTCGTAAAGAATTGTGGAGACATGTCCGCAGGTGCCCCTTTAAGCCAGAAAATGAAGACACCGAAAAGGAACCTGGGAGAACTAAAGTGCTGAGTTTGGCTGCAGCCCAAGAGACGGCATTCTCTCAGCATATCTCTAGTGGAGTGTGGAAGCTTCTAGGTAGCATGAAAGAGGATGAAGTTGCTTCAACAGTGCGAAATGATCTCACTATCATTCAGCTTGCCCAGTCGCTCTTTAACAAACACGGACAAGACCCAACAAAATTTGAATACATGCGACAGAAACTGCGAGAGGTGGGTCGTTTGTTGTTATGTCTCCGCACAGATTTTTCCATACATAACCTTGAGGAAGCTGTAAAACCTTCCAACTTCCAAAGAGTGGTGCAAGCTGTCAAAAAAGTTTCAGGTTTTGATGAGGAAAAACACTTGTATTTGACACCAAGTCTTGCATTGAAACTTGGACACACACTGCACAAAATCTGTGACATTATTCATTGTAGGGCACTTATGGCAGAGGATGAAGAGCTGATTAGGTCCACCGATGTGTTCAAGAAGTTGTACACCTCCAAATGGTCTGAGTTGGTGTCTCACAGTGCCCTGAACACACTGAGTGATGCAAAATACAACAAGCCATTATCATTACCCTTTACAGAAGATGTCCAGAACCTTCATCGGCACCTTGAAAAATCTGTAGAAAGTGCGTCTTGCAGTTTGACGGAAAAGCCCACACCTCAGAACTATGCTCAGCTTGCAAAAGCTACACTTGCACAAATCATTGTGTTTAATCGTAGGCGTGCTGGGGAGGTTTCCAAGATGCGTCTGAGAAGTTTTCAGGAAAGAGACAACACAAAACTCCATGAGGATGTTGCAAAGGGACTGTCACGGACTGAACAGCGGCTCTGCAACCATTTTAGTCGAGTTGAAATTATGGGGAAAAGGGGCAGAAAGGTTGCTGTTCTGCTCACACCAAGCATGGTGGATGCCCTCTCATTACTAGCTAGCACCAGAACTGAGTGTGGTGTTAACACTGCAAATGTCTTCCTGTTTGCAAGACCAAAATCACTGAGCCACTACAGAGGACAGGAATGTCTACGGGTCCATGCAGAGCAGTGTGGAGCAAAGCACCCAGAACACTTGAGGTCAACTCAGCTCAGAAAGCATGTTGCCACTCTCTCTCAAGTTCTCAATTTAAAAAACAACGAACTTGATCAAGTTGCTGATTTCCTGGGTCATGACATTCGTGTACATCGAGACTTCTACAGATTACCAGTTCCCACAACACAACTGGCTAAAATCTCCAAGCTGCTCCTGACCATGGAAAAAGGCCACCTGTCCAGCATACAGGGGAAGTCACTGGACGAGATAGAACTTGACGGTTTGTAAAGGAAATACAATTTTTGTTTTTTTTTTTGTTTTTATGTGTTTCCCTTTTCTTTTTTTTTTTTTTTTTTTTTGAAGGTATCTTTACATATCAGAAGACAAATGTTTGGATATATATGTGTAGGCCCACTTAACACCATTGATTTTTCAAGCTTAAGAAGGGTTTTAAATTGTGTGGTACTCATGTGAGTTTTATTGATACTACCAGATGAAATACAGTTAAGCGATGGTGAGGCCAGGGATAGTGGCAGTGAAAGTGACAACAGTGGCAGAGAAGAGGCAGGCTTGGAGTGTGGTACAAGCAAGCCCCGTGATCCTGTTCCAGAGTCTACGGTGACAGAGCAGGTCCATGACACTGGAGATTTGGGTGGGTTTCTCTATTTGATTGTGTTTCAAATTATTCAAACCTCTATTTCTGTAGAAAGAAAAACTCACTTTTGTTGAATTATGTTTCCAGCAGAAACAGGATCAGTGTCTTCCACAGTAAATGAGACTGCCCTTCCTTCTGAGGGTAAGCAAAGTCTTATTGTAAAGCCTAATCCCAAGTTTCCATAGCGTTCATCCTTAGTCATTGCAAATGTTTTATAACAGAAACAAGTATTGATCCATTTTCTTCTTTACTTCATTATGTAAGATATATCATTTCATATCTTTTAGGAGACACTGCTGTTCAAGAGCGTGGTCCCAGAAGACTGACCAAGAAACCCTGGTCAAAGGCTGAGGTTGCAGCAGTAATGCGGCATTTCAGAAAACACATAAGCAAAGGGAAGCTGGCGACCAAAAACGAATGCAGTCACTGTAAGGAGGTAGAAGACCCGGTGTTGGCAGGTAGAACAGTACAAAACATTAGGGACTTTGTTAGAAACAGAGGGACAGCAATGAAGAGGCAGTCACAGAAAGGCAGGCTGTAAAGCGTACAAAAACTGTGTTCTTAGTGATTATGCAGTTGCAGAAGTTGCTAGAAAGATAATGTATGGCAGTATTTTTGTTTAAAAATGGTTTGCAAAAGTGTAAATATGCAAATATGTGACCTATTATTTTGTATATGTATCTATTTAAGTTGATGAGTATAGGTTGTTGTTTACACCGTACCTTCTCTCCAGTTGCGCTGTGAAAGACTAATAAGTGTGTATGATGATTGGAGAAATATGTATGTTGAAGTAATGCCCCCAGCCTGGTGCTCATACCTAGGTGTTCTATCTTGCTTTGTGCAGTGAATCAGCTCCTGCTAAAGCTGGACATGATCATGTCCAGATCATGCATATTTCAGAAAAAGAGAGATACACTATTTGGTAGAAGACTTTTTTTAGGACATTGGTTGAATATGACTTCTAAATTCAAGACAATTCAGCAAAGCTGAACAGATCAAAGTAATGCACAGCTAGCCTGGGTTTAGAACCAATAGACCCCTTCCATTTGCTTTTTGATTTGTGTAAGCTTTAGTGGATCGACACTTTTGGATCGATTTACACATTTGCAAATTGTTTGTTTGTAATAATATTTCCTTGGTTTGCAAGGTTATCATGTTTTGGGACAGGTTGTCTGCAAGTGCTACAGTTTGTTTGAGCTTGGTTGAAAATTTAAGCCAGTGTGGCAGACTCCAAAAACAGTTGGCTCAACCCTGTCAAGGCTTTGGGTATGTTGTCAGTGAACCAGTGGGTCACATCACTGAGGCTGCATCTGTTGCTGTTTGTTTTTCTGATTGCTAATGGTTAAGTTTGTATTTTTTGTAGTGCTGATGTTTTTAACAGCAAAGGTTCTCTCATCTCAAGATACTTGCAAGCAAGAATAGATAATGTTGCATTTAAAAAAAACATCTATTTTTTTGGTTAATTTAGTGGGACTTCTTCGATAGGCAGAAGGGTTGTTTGCCAAACTTATATAAGAAGATGTTATACTGATAGACTGTATACTGTTGTGGACAGAGCTGTACCAGTCCAGAGTAAAGCTGTTCAAGTGTTCATTATTTTGCCACGTTTAGTTTTCAGTACATATTTTATGTTAATAACTTGAATGGCGATTTGTTGACCAGCCCATAGAGCGTTTTTGGCAGATAAGTAGAGGAGGAATGAATAGAGAACACAAAAACTAATAAATAAAGAGCCCTCTAACTTTACATAGCTGTGAGTGTTTGCTAAAAAACAGCTTAGGAATCTGTTTTGCTGTTGATTGTTCCAACCTGAAGGAACTTTGGCATGTTATTGGAAGGTTAAATGTGTGTTTTGGTAAACAGAGGTGGTGTCCTGGACTATAGCTGCCCATTTACTCTTGATGCAAATGTCCTCTATGGCACAAACTCTTTAAATAATGCAGCTTTCAAACCAGAGTAAAATGGCTTCACCTAAGTAGAAATAAAGGAGGCAGGAATCCTCTGTCCATTGAATAAGCAGTCTATGGTTATATGGCTTTAAACTACTTTAGTTCAGTAATAAATTGCATGTCCCAACAATACTGTGTTCTGTCATGTTTGTGTGTATATGCTAATGAGGTGGGATTTAAAGGTGATGTCACTGTCCCTTTAAAGTCCGGATAATGTTTTTTGTGTCCCTATACACCACAAATTTGTCAAAAATACATCTGTCCGCCTAAACCACCATTTTGTTAGGGGGCTGTGTATAAGGCCCTGTAGGGTGTATCTGAAAGCTAAAGTGACCCAAATTTTTTTCAGAATTTTTAGAGTAATTTTTGCTTACTCCTAGAGCTCTCAGGCCATGGGAAGGGGTAGTCCATGTAAACCACCACCGGGCTGGTTTGGCGAAAAAGTCCAGCTAAATCATATAGGCCCGTATGTGTGTGTGTGTGTGTGTGTGTGTGTGTGTGTGTGTATGTGTGTGTATCCTGCAGTACTCTGTACTCCTGCAGTGGCCAAAAAGACTTTTAAGAATGTGGATTTTTGGGTCATCTTTGGCGCCCCCTAGAACTGCAGTACTCTGTACTCCTGCAGTGGCCAAAATGACTTTTAAGAATGTGGATTTTTGGGTCATCTTTGGCGCCCCCTAGAACGTAAACCGTGGGGTGCAGCGTCATGATTTTTACAACTTTGAATGGGCATGGGGTGTAGATTGCCCTGAGCAAATTTGGTATCGGTGGGACGAAAGCCTTAGGAGGAGATAGCCACATTCCAATGTGTGCGAATCGGCAAAAAATGCGAAATAGCCCTTTAACCGTACATTATACAGATACGCGCTTTTTGACTTTTTCGTAGATCTAATTGAGATACACATGATTGTCAATTTTTGTGTCAATATGACAAAGCGTTCAGGCGTGACACTCAACAATGTGTATTTTCATGTAAGGGGACAAGAAAAAATTGACTTTTTTCTCCTGCCATGGGGGGGCGCTCTTTTGGGGAGTAAAAATTCCTTCACAAATGTGTTGATGGCTGGACATTGCATCATCCTAGAAAACTTGGAGGGCAGTGAGGACAAAAATAAAAAGTTATAAGACTTTTAAGAATGTGGATTTTGGGTTATCTTTGGCGCCCCCTAGAACGTAAACCGTGGGGTGCAGCGTCATGATTTGTACAACTTTTAATGGCCATGGGGGGTAGATTGGCCTGCGCAAATGTGGTGCCGGTCGAACGAAAGCCTTCGGAGGAGTTAGCGAAATTCCAATGTGTGCAGATCTGCAAAAAATGCAAAATAACCCATTAACCGTACATTTGACAGATACGCCCGCACTGACTTTTTTGTAGATCTTATTGAGATACATGTGTGTGTCAATTTTTGTGTCAATATGACAAAGCGTACAGCCGTCATGTGAATTTTCACCTTAGGGGGCGCTATGGAGCCATTTTGCATTTTATTGTTTGGGCGACTTCAGAATATCGAATTTTTCACCAGGCCCGGTCGTCCTGCCAAATTTCCTGAGTTTTCGCCAGTGGGAAGTGGGCCATTTTCCAGTTTAAAGCGGAGGAAAAATAATAACGAAAGAAGGAAACATGCAGGAACAAGAGGGCTCTCGCAGCTGCTTAGCAGCTACGCTCGGGCCCTAATAACAAAAGAAGGAAACTACAGGAACAAGAGGGCTCTCGCAGCTGCTTAGCAGCTACGCTCGGGCCCTAACAAAGAAAAACCCCTTGGGGAATAATAGGGCTCTCGCAGCTGCTTAGCAGCTACGCTCGGGCCCTAACAACAACAACAGCTCATGTAATGGTGAAGAGAAAAGAGTTCAGTTTACAGGGTTAGGATATGAGTGATTATGGACAGTGTTAAATTAATTGAGTGTGATTACAGTCAGCAGGCCTAATCGTGGTCAGTTCTAGTTAGGGCCCGAGCCAGCTGCAGAGCAGCCGGGCGTAGGCCCTGTTATTCCTGTAGGGGTTTTTCTTTGTTTCTTTCTTAGGGCCCGAGCGTAGCTGCTAAGCAGCTGCGAGAGCCCTCTTGTTCCTGTAGTTTCCTTCTTTTGTTATTATTAGGGCCCGAGCGTAGCTGCTAAGCAGCTGCGAGAGCCCTATTATTCCCCAAGTGGTTTTTCTTTGTTTCTTTTTTCTTTTTCCTCCCCTTTGAACTGGAAAATGGCCCACTTCCCACCGGCGAAAACTCATGAAATTTGGCAGGACGACCGGGCCTGGTGAAAAATTTGATATTCCGAAGTCGCCCAAACAAGAAAATGCAAAATGGCTCCATAGCGCCCCCTAAGGTGAAAATTCACACTATTGACTGTCACGCCTGTACGCTTTGTCAAAATGACACAAAAATTGACACACACATGTATCTCAATAAGATCTACAAAAAAGTCAGTGCGGGCGTCTCTGTCAAATGTACGGTTAAAGGGTTATTTCGCATTTTTTGCCGATCCGCACACATTGGAATTTCGCTAACTCCTCCGAAGGCTTTCGTTCCACCGGCACCACATTTGCTCAGGCCAATCTACACCCCATGGCCATTAAAAGTTATTCAAATCATGATGCTGCACCCCACGGTTTAGGTTCTAGGGGGCGCCAAAGATAACCCTAAAATCCACATATTTAAAAGTCTTATAACTTTTTATTTTTTCCCTCACTGGCCTCCAAGTTTTCTAGGATGATGCAATGTCCAGCCATCAACACATTTGTGAAGGAATTTTTACTCCCCAAAAGAGCGCCCCCCCCCATGGCAGGAGAAAAAAGTCCATTTTTTCTTGTCCCCTAAGGTGAAAATACACATTGTTGAGTGTCACGCCTGTACGCTTTGTCAAAATGACACAAAAATTGACACACACATGTATCTCAATAAGATCTACAAAAAAGTCCATGCGCGCGTATCTGTCAAATGTACGGTTAAAGGGTTATTCCGCATTTTTTGCCGATTCCCACACATTGGAATTTCGCTAACTCCTCCGAAGGCTTTCGTTCCACCGGCACCACATTTGCTCAGGCCAATATACACCCCATGGCCATTAAAAGTTATTCAAATCATGACGCTGCACCCCACGGTTTACGTTCTAGGGGGCGCCAAAGATAACCCAAAAATCCACATTTTTAAAAGTCTTATAACTTTTTATTTTTGTCCTCACTGGCCTCCAAGTTTTCTAGGATGATGCAATGTCCAGCCATCAACACATTTGTGAAGGAATTTTTACTCCCTAAAAGAGCGCCCCCCCATGGCAGGAGAAAAAAGTCCATTTTTTCTTGTCCCCTAAGGTGAAAATACACATTGTTGACTGTCACGCCTGTACGCTTTGGCAAAATGACACAAAAATTGACAATCATGTGTATCTCAATTAGATCTACGAAAAAGTCATAGAGCGCGTATCTGTATAATGTACGGTAAAAGGGCTATTTTGCATTTTTTGCCGATTCGCACACATTGGAATTTCGCTAACTCCTCCTAAGGCTTTCGTCCCACTGACACCAAATTTGCTCAGGCCAATCTACACTCCATGGCCATTCAAAGTTGTAAAAATCATGACGCTGCACCCCACGGTTTACGTTTTAGGGGGCGCCAAAGATGACCCAAATATACATTACAGTAGACAAAGTAGTTTTGCCCACTGAGTGGCGCCAAAGGGACTTGTCTGTGGAGTCTGTGAGTCACTATTGGCCGTTTTTGACTACTTTAGATTTTACCTTTATATTTCCTCTTACAAAAGTTTTACCTTGCCTTGCCTGGTATCATTTTTTTCAGTACAACCTCACCTGTGTCAATGTACAGTTATTTTATCATTTTGACATACTATATTTACACATTGGACCCAAATTCACACACAAAACATAAAATCCGAGTGGAAAAAAGTAACGTTTTTACTGTGAAAACCACAAATATGTGTGATGAACTGTTTTTAAAACTTAAACTTCAAATAAAAATTGTAAACTTCAAAACATATGCAAATTTTTAACAAAGAACATAGTAATTTACCTCTATTTACATCAAAATGCAGGCAATGGCCCAGGTGTTCTTTGTAAAATTATTTACAAAACACTGTATAGTCTCACAAATGTCACTTTTTATTTATGCCAGTACAAAAAAACATGATGTAAATGATGCATGATGTAAAACATGATGTAAAAAACTTGTGTAGATCCTCCTCTATGTTAGTCCATGTGTAATTTTTCCATAATTCTTTGTTTTTTGCAGCATTTTTGTTAGTGTAACTGCAGATTGTGCTGACAGTGTCTATGGCAAAAAAAAAAAAAAAAAACTGAAAATGCCTCAACATGAACCCCTGGTGGTCTCTGAGGGTGAAACCTGCTAACTGCTGCAGCTCTGTCAGCTTCAGTCTCCCATGCAGAGCTCGGAGCGCATGTGTGGCTCTGCACCCTTAGCAGCGTTGCTAACTCCTCAGTAAGGAAAGCCTGCTTCATGTCAGAGTCTCTAAACTCCAGAAGAAGTCGATAAAAGTCACTTTCTTTCTAAAAAAGTCGTTAGGGGGTCTGAAAAGTCATTGAATCTAACAACAAAGTCGCTAGGTTTGCAACTACGTGTCCCAGACTGCATCCCTGCTGAGAGTCCCTCCCTCCCTTCTCATATTGCAGGAAGAACGTAAGCGCCCGCCCCTTGTCAATCAGTCACCATATAATTTTGGATTGGTTGTTGTGGTGAAGTTTTCCACCAGTAGGAGAGATGTTGTGGTGTGTTTTTTTTTTTCCTTTGGCAAGCCTTTTACGCCTGTAAGACCTGTCGCTAATGTCTGCATGCTATGTTTTCCTGTCTCATACAGCGCGATCGAGCGCCGAACGTGATCAAAATAAGCAGAAAACAAGTATCGCGGACATAATTTATCATAACTCTGGTTTTATTTGGCCTATCAACACAATTTAAAAACTGGTATATAGGTTGAGGTCCTCACTTTTGAGATAAGTTGAAACGGAGTCAACGAGGCTCCGTCTTGCAGCTACATCCGGTTAAATATGTCATGTGACTTGAACGCACACACACACACAGACACACACACACACACACACACACACACACACACAGACACACACACACACGCACACACACACACTCAGAGTCTGGTTTTTAGCACCTGCAAAAACATGCTATTTACATATTTGACAAGAATGCAGAGGCTCCTTTTGCCCCTGAAAAAAATCAAATTTCAAACACAACTTGACTGGTCATTTCTCCAAAAGACAACCATGAAGCTCCATCCAAACCTGAAGCAGGCAGTTGGTGCATGTGTACAGTAACCTGAGGGGAGTGAGGTGACTGCTTCTGAGGAGAACATGAGCAGTGAAGATTCACCTTAGAGCTAGAACAGAGACGTGCACATGATTATACAGGGGCAGGGGCTCAAGTTTTTTCCAGTTGTTTATACAATATGGAAATTAATGTGAAATTAAAAAACAAAGTATTAATAGAAAGGTAATGACTGTCCTGAGTAGGTGACAGTGATATCCAATAGGCTAGGCACTCAAGAGGCTGGCTGTGGCAAGTGTAAGTGAAAGCAACACGCACTGGCAGGAAGAACAGCAAACGCCGATGAAGGAAAAGGGTCTTTGCAGTGATGGGCGTTACCAGAGAGGGCGATGGCCAGAGGACACAAATGGGACGGGGAGGCAGCGCGTTGGGGGGGACGCGACACAGCTCGGGCCCGCCAGTGCCCCAACGGGGTCCTAGTTATTTTTCCTCCCCTTTGAACTGGAAAATGGCCCACTTCCCACTGGCGAAAACTCATGAAATTTGGCAGGACGACCGGGCCTGGTGAAAAATTTGATATTCCGAAGTCGCCCAAACAAGAAAATGCAAAATGGCTCCATAGCGCCCCCTAAGGTGAAAATTCACACTATTGACTGTCACGCCTGTACGCTTTGTCAAAATGACACAAAAATTGACACACACATGTATCTCAATAAGATCTACAAAAAAGTCAGTGCGGGCGTATCTGTCAAATGTACGGTTAAAGGGTTATTTCGCATTTTTTGCCGATCCGCACACATTGGAATTTCGCTAACTCCTCCGAAGGCTTTCGTTCCACCGGCACCACATTTGCTCAGGCCAATCTACACCCCATGGCCATTAAAAGTTATTCAAATCATGACGCTGCACCCCACGGTTTAGGTTCTAGGGGGCGCCAAAGATAACCCTAAGATCCACATATTTAAAAGTCTTATAACTTTTTATTTTTGCCCTCACTGGCCTCCAAGTTTTCTAGGATGATGCAATGTCCAGCCATCAACACATTTGTGAAGGAATTTTTACTCCCCAAAAGAGCGCCCCCCCATGGCAGGAGAAAAAAGTCCATTTTTTCTTGTCCCCTAAGGTGAAAATACACATTGTTGAGTTTAACACCTGTACGCTTTGGCAAAATGACACCAAAAATGACACACACATGTATCTCAATAAGATCTACGAAAAAGTCAATGCGCGCGTATCTGTCAAATGTACGGTTAATGGGTTATTTCGCATTTTTTGCCGATCCGCACACATTGGAATTTCGCTAACTCCTCCGAAGGCTTTCATTCCACCGGTACCACATTTGCTCAGGCCAATCTACACCCCATGGCCATTAAAAGTTATTCAAATCATGACGCTGCATCCCACGGTTTAGGTTCTAGGGGGCGCCAAAGATAACCCTAAAATCCACATATTTAAAAGTCTTATAACTTTTTATTTTTGTCCTCACTGGCCTCCAAGTTTTCTAGGATGATGCAATGTCCAGCCATCAACACATTTGTGAAGGAATTTTTACTCCCCAAAAGAGCGCCCCCCCATGGCAGGAAAAAAAAGCCAATTTTTTCTTGTCCCCTAAGGTGGAAATTCACACTATTGACTGTCACGCCTGTACGCTTTATCATATTGACACAAAAATTGACACACATATGTATCTCAATAAGATCTACAAAAGAGTCGATTCGCGCGTATCTGTCAAATGTACGGTTAAAGGGCTATTTTGCATTTTTTGCCGATTCGCACACATTGGAATGTGGCTAACTCCTCCTAAGGCTTTCGTCCCACTGACACCAAATTTGCTCAGGCCAATCTACACCCCATGGCCATTCAAAGTTGTAAAAATCATGACGCTGCACCCCACGGTTTACGTTCTAGGGGGCGCCAAAGATGACCCAAAAATCCACATTCTTCAAAGAATCCACATCCCCCCCCCCCCCCCATATGGCAGGAGAAAAAGTTAAGTTTTTCCTGCCCATCGCTCAATGGCTCAATCGCATCGCTCTCCAGGCAACACCGTAAGGAGGAGCAACCTGCCATTTCGATATATCATAGCTGTGTTTGTGCCCTCACTCATGGTCCAGACTTTTTTCAAATAGGACATGAAGTTTGTCTGCAGCGAGTGTTTTGGTAGAAACTGCGCCTCCCATTCATTATAATAGGAAATGACCGCAGACAAGTGCGCACACCATCTTTGGATCTTGAGTGTGACGCGATCGGGAGGGGGAGGCGGTCGCACTGGGGGCGGCGCGACACGGCTCGGGCCCGACAGTGCCCCAACGGGGTCCTAGTTATTAGGGCCCGAGCGTAGCTGCTAAGCAGCTGCGAGAGCCCTATTATTCCCCAAGTGGTTTTTTAGGGCCCGAGCGTAGCTGCTAAGCAGCTGCGAGAGCCCTCTTGTTCCTGCATGTTTCCTTCTTTTGTTATTATTATTATTTTTCCTCCCCTTTGAACTGGAAAATGGCCCACTTCCCACTGGCGAAAACTCATGAAATTTGGCAGGACGACCGGGCCTGGTGAAAAATTTGATATTCTGAAGTCGCCCAAACAATAAAATGCAAAATGGCTCCATAGCGCCCCCTAAGGTGGAAATTCACACTATTGACTGTCACGCCTGTACGCTTTGTCAAAATGACACAAAATTTGACACACATATGTATCTCAATAAGATCTACAAAAAAGTCAGTGCGGGCGTATCTGTCAAATGTACGGTTAAAGGGCTATTTCGCATTTTTTGGCGATCCGTACACATTGGAATTTCGCTAACTCCTCCGAAGGCTTTTGTTCCACCGGCACCACATTTGCTCAGGCCAATCTACACCCCATGGCCATTAAAAGTTATTCAAATCATGACGCTGCACCCCACGGTTTAGGTTCTAGGGGGCGCCAAAGATAACCCGAAAATCCACATATTTAAAAGTCTTATAACTTTTTATTTTTGTCCTCACTGGCCTCCAAGTTTTCTAGGATGATGCAATGTCCAGCCATCAACACATTTGTGAAGGAATTTTTACTCCCCAAAAGAGCGCCCCCCCATGGCAGGAGAAAAAAGTCCATTTTTTCTTGTCCCCTAAGGTGAAAATACACATTGTTGAGTGTCACGCCTCTACACTTTGTCAAAATGACACAAAATTTGGCACACAGGTGTGTCAATAAGATCTACGAAAAAGTCAATGCGGGCGTATCTGTCAAATGTACGGTTAAAGGGCTATTTCGCATTTTTTGGCGATCCGTACACATTGGAATTTCGCTAACTCCTCCGAAGGCTTTTGTTCCACCGGCACCACATTTGCTCAGGCCAATCTACACCCCATGGCCATTAAAAGTTATTCAAATCATGACGCTGCACCCCACGGTTTAGGTTCTAGGGGGCGCCAAAGATAACCCGAAAATCCACATATTTAAAAGTCTTATAACTTTTTATTTTTGTCCTCACTGGCCTCCAAGTTTTCTAGGATGATGCAATGTCCAGCCATCAACACATTTGTGAAGGAATTTTTACTCCCCAAAAGAGCGCCCCCCCATGGCAGGAGAAAAAAGTCCATTTTTTCTTGTCCCCTAAGGTGAAAATACACATTGTTCAGTGTCACGCCTCTACACTTTGTCAAAATGACACAAAATTTGGCACACAGGTGTATCTCAATAATATCTACGAAAAAGTCAATGCGGGCGTATCTGTCAAATGTACGGTTAAAGGGCTATTTCGCATTTTTTGGCGATCCATACACATTGGAATTTCGCTAACTCCTCCGAAGGCTTTTGTTCCACCGGCACCACATTTGCTCAGGCCAATCTACACCCCATGGCCATTAAAAGTTATTCAAATCATGACGCTGCACCCCACGGTTTAGGTTCTAGGGGGCGCCAAAGATAACCCTAAAATCCACATATTTAAAAGTCTTATAACTTTTTATTTTTGTCCTCACTGGCCTCCAAGTTTTCTAGGATGATGCAATGTCCAGCCATCAACACATTTGTGAAGGAATTTTTACTCCCTAAAAGAGTGCCCCCCCATGGCAGGAGAAAAAGTCAAGTTTTTCCGGCCCATCGCTCAACGGCTCAAACACATCGCTCTCTCGGCAAAACCGAAAGGAGGAGAAACTTGCCATTTGGATATATCCTAGCTGTGTTGGTGCCCTCACTCATGGTCCAGACTTTTTTCAAATAGGACATGTAGTTTGTCTGCAGCGAGCGTTTTGGTAGAAACTGCGCCTCCCATTCATTATAATGGTAAATGACCACAGACAAGTGTGCACACCATCTTTGGACCTTGAGTGTCACGCGATCGGGAGGGAGAGGCGGTCGTGTTGGGGGCGGCGCGACACAGCTCGGGCCCGCCAGTGCCCCAACGGGGTCCTAGTCTTTGTTTCTTTCTTTCTTTTTTCTTTTTCCTCCCCTTTGAACTGGAAAATGGCCCACTTCCCACTGGCGAAAACTCATGAAATTTGGCAGGACGACCGGGCCTGGTGAAAAATTCGATATTCTGAAGTCGCCCAAACAATAAAATGCAAAATGGCTCCATAGCGCCCCCTAAGGTGGAAATTCACACTATTGACTGTCACGCCTGTACGCTTTGTCATATTGACACAAAAATTGACACACACATGTATCTCAATAAGATCTACAAAAAAGTCAGTGCGGCCGTATCTGTCAAAATTACGGTTAAAGGGTTATTTCGCATTTTTTGCCGATCCGCACACATTGGAATTTCGCTAACTCCTCCGAAGGCTTTCGTTCCACCGGCACCACATTTGCTCAGGCCAATCTACACCCCGTGGCCATTAAAAGTTATCAAAATCATGACGCTGCACCCCAAGGTTTAGGTTCTAGGGGGCGCCAAAGATAACACTAAAATCCACATATTTAAAGTCTTATAACTTTTTATTTTTGTCCTCACTGGCCTCCAAGTTTTCTAGGATGATGCAATGTCCAGCCATCAACACATTTGTGAAGGAATTTTTACTCCCCAAAAGAGCGCCCCCCATGGCAGGAGAAAAAAGTCCATTTTTTCTTGTCCCCTAAGGTGAAAATACACATTGTTGAGTGTCACGCCTATACGCTTTGTCAAAATGACACAAAAATTGACACACACATGTAACTCAATAAGATCTACAAAAAAGTCAATGCGCGCGTATCTGTCAAATGTACGGTTAAAGGGTTATTCCGCATTTTTTGCCGATACGCACACATTGGAATTTCGCCAACTCCTCCGAAGGCTTTCGTTCCACCGGCACCACATTTGCTCAGGCCAATCTACACCCCATGGCCATTAAAAGTTATTCAAATCATGATGCTGCACCCCATGGTTTAGGTTCTAGGGGGCGCCAAAAATAACCCTAAAATCCACATTCTTAAATGTTTTATAACTTTTTATTTTTGTCCTCACTGGCCTCCAAGTTTTCTAGGATGATGCAATGTCCAGCCATCAACACATTTGTGAAGGAATTTTTACTCCCCAAAAGAGCGCCCCCCCATGGCAGGAGAAAAAAGTCCATTTTTTCTTGTCCCATAAGGTGAAAAAACACATTGTTGACTGTCATACCTGTACGCTTTGTCATATTGACACAAAATTTGACAATCACATGTATCTCAATAAGATCTACGAAAAAGTCAATGCGCGCGTATCTGTAAAATGTACGGTTAAAGGGCTATTTTGCATTTTTTGCCGATTCGCACACATTGGAATGTGGCTAACTCCTCCTAAGGCTTTCGTCCCACTGACACCAAATTTGCTCAGGCCAATCTACACCCCATGGCCATTCAAAGTTGTAAAAATCATGACGCTGCACCCCACGGTTTACGTTCTAGGGGGCGCCAAAGATGACCCAAATATCCACATTCTTAAAAGAATCCACATCCCCCCCCCCATCCCCCATCCCCCATGGCAGGAGAAACAGTCAAGTTTTTCCTGCCCATCACTCAATGGCTCAATCGCATCACTCTCCCGGCAACACCGTAACGAGGAGCAACTTGCCGTTTGGATATATCCTAGCTGTGTTTGTGCCCTCACTCATGGTCCAGACTTTTTTCAAATAGGACATGTAGTTTGTCTGCAGCGAGTGTTTTGGTAGAAACTGCGCCTCCCATTCATTATAATGGGAAATGACCACAGACAAGTGCGCACACCATCTTTGGACCTTGAGTGTGACGCGATCGGGAGGGGGAGGCGGTCGCGCTGGGGGCGGCGCAACGCGGCTCGGGCCCGACAGTGCCCCACCGGGGTCCTAGTTATTTTTCCTCCCCTTTGAACTGGAAAATGGCCCACTTCCCACTGGCGAAAACTCATGAAATTTGGCAGGACGACCGGGCCTGGTGAAAAATTTGATATTCTGAAGTCGCCCAAACAATACAATGCAAAATGGCTCCATAGCGCCCCCTAAGGTGAAAAATTCACCTGACGCCTGTACGCTTTGTCAAAATTACACAAAAATTGACACACACATGTATCTCAATAAGATCTACAAAAAAGTCAGTGCGGGCGTATCTGTCAAATGTACGGTTAAAGGGTTATTGTGCATTTTTTGCCGATCCGCACACATTGGAATTTCGCTAACTCCTCCGAAGGCTTTCGTTCCACCGGCACCACATTTGCTCAGGCCAATCTACACCCCATGGCCATTAAAAGTTATTCAAATCATGACGCTGCACCCCACGGTTTATGTTCTAGGGGGCGCCAAAGATAACCCTAAAATCCACATATTTCAAAGTCTTATAACTTTTTATTTTTGCCCTCACTGGCCTCCAAGTTTTCTAGGATGATGCAATGTCCAGCCATCAACACATTTGTGAAGGAATTTTTACTCCCCAAAAGAGCGCCCCCCCATGGCAGGAGAAAAAAGTCCATTTTTTCTTGTTCCATAAGGTGAAAATTCACACTATTGACTGTCACGCCTGTACGCTTTGTCAAAATTACACAAAAATTGACACACACATGTATCTCAATAAGATCTACAAAAAAGTCAGTGCGGGCGTATCTGTCAAATGTACGGTTAAAGGGTTATTGTGCATTTTTTGCCGATCCGCACACATTGGAATTTCGCTAACTCCTCCGAAGGCTTTCGTTCCACCGGCACCACATTTGCTCAGGCCAATCTACACCCCATGGCCATTAAAAGTTATTCAAATCATGACGCTGCACCCCACGGTTTAGGTTCTAGGGGGCGCCAAAGATAACCCTAAAATCCACATATTTAAAAGTCTTATAACTTTTTATTTGTGTCTTCTCTGGCCTCCAAGTTTTCTAGGATGATGCAATGTCCAGCCATCAACACATTTGTGAAGGAATTTTTACTCCCTAAAAGAGCGCCCCCCCATGGCAGGAGAAAAAAGTCAATTTTTTCTTGTCCCATAAGGTGAAAATACACATTGTTGACTGTCATACCTGTATGCTTTGTCATATTGACACAAAATTTGACACACACATGTATCTCAATAAGATCTACGAAAAAGTCAGTGCGCGCGTATCTGTAAAATGTACGGTTAAAGGGCTATTTTGCATTTTTTGCTGATTAGCACACATTGGAATGTGGCTAACTCCTCCTAAGGCTTTCGTCCCACTGACACCAAATTTGCTCAGGCCAATCTACACCCCATGGCCATTCAAAGATTTAAAAATCATGACGCTGCACCCCACGGTTTACGTTCTAGGGGGCGCCAAAGATGACCCAAATATCCACATTCTTAAAAGAATCCACATCCCTTTCCCCCCCTCCCATCCCCCATCCCCCATGGCAGGAGAAACAGTCAAGTTTTTCCTGCCCATCACACAATGGCTCAATCGCATCGCTCTCCCGGCAACACCGTAACGAGGAGCAACTTGCCGTTTGGATATATCCTAGCTGTGTTTGTGCCCTCACTCATGGTCCAGACTTTTTTCAAATAGGACATGTAGTTTGTCTGCAGCGAGTGTTTTGGTAGAAACTGCGCCTCCCATTAATTATAATGGGAAATGACCACAGACAAGTGCGCACACCATCTTTGGACCTTGAGTGTGACGCGATCGGGAGGGGGAGGCGGTCGCACTGGGGGCGGCGCAACGCGGCTCGGGCCCGCCAGTGCCCCAACGGGGCCCTAGTTTCTTCTTTTTCCTCCCCTTTGAACTGGAAAATGGCCCACTTCCCACTGGCGAAAACTCATGAAATTTGGCAGGACGACCGGGCCTGGTGAAAAATTCGATATTCTGAAGTCGCCCAAACAATAAAATGCAAAATGGCTCCATAGCGCCCCCTAAGGTGGAAATTCACACTATTGACTGTCACGCCTGTATGCTTTGTCATATTGACACAAAAATTGACACACATATGTATCTCAATACGGTCTACAAAAAAGTCAGTGCGGCCGTATCTGTCAAAATTACGGTTAAAGGGTTATTTCGCATTTTTTGCCGATCCGCACACATTGGAATTTCGCTAACTCCTCCGAAGGCTTTCGTTCCACCGGCACCACATTTGCTCAGGCCAATCTACACCCCGTGGCCATTAAAAGTTATCAAAATCATGACGCTGCACCCCAAGGTTTAGGTTCTAGGGGGCGCCAAAGATAACACTAAAATCCACATATTTCAAAGTCTTATAACTTTTTATTTTTGTCCTCACTGGCCTCCAAGTTTTCTAGGATGATGCAATGTCCAGCCATCAACACATTTGTGAAGGAATTTTTACTCCCCAAAAGAGCGCCCCCCCATGGCAGAAGAAAAAAGTCCATTTTTTCTTGTCCCCTAAGGTGAAAATACACATTGTTGAGTGTCACGCCTATACGCTTTGTCAAAATGACACAAAACTTGACACACACATGTAACTCAATAAGATCTACGAAAAAGTCAATGCGCGCGTATCTGTCAAATGTACGGTTAAAGGGTTATTCCGCATTTTTTGCCGATCCGCACACATTGGAATGTGGCTAACTCCTCCTAAGGCTTTCGTTCCACCGGCACCACATTTGCTCAGGCCAATCTACACCCCATGGCCATTAAAAGTTATCAAAATCATGACGCTGCACCCCACGGTTTAGGTTCTAGGGGGCGCCAAAGATAACCCTAAAATCCACATATTTAAAAGTCTTATAACTTTTTATTTTTGTCCTCACTGGCCTCCAAGTTTTCTAGGATGATGCAATGTCCAGCCATCAACACATTTGTGAAGGAATTTTTACTCCCCAAAAGAGCGCCCCCCCATGGCAGGAGAAAAAAGTCCATTTTTTCTTGTCCCTTAAGGTGAAAATACATATTGTTGAGATTCACGCCTATACGCTTTGTCATATTGACACAAAATTTGACAATCACGTGTATCTCAATTAGATCTACGAAAAAGTCAAAGAGCGCGTATCTGTATAATGTACGGTAAAAGGGCTATTTTGCATTTTTTGCCGATTCGCACACATTGGAATTTCACTAACTCCTCCTAAGGCTTTCGTCCCACTGACACCAAATTTGCTCAGGCCAATCTACACTCCATGGCCATTCAAAGTTGTAAAAATCATGACGCTGCACCCCACGGTTTACGTTTTAGGGGGCGCCAAAGATGACCCAAATATACATTACAGTAGACAAAGTAGTTTTGCCCACTGAGTGGCGCCAAAGGGACTTGTCTGTGGAGTCCGTGAGTCACTATTGGCCGTTTTTGACTACTTTAGATTTTACCTTTATATTTCCTCTTACAAAATTTTTACCTTGCCTTGCCTGGTATCATTTTTTTCAGCACAACCTCACCTGTGTCAATTTACAGTTATTTTATCATTTTGACATACTATATTTACACATTGGACCCAAATTCACACACAAAACATAAAATCCGAGTGGAAAAAAGTAACGTTTTTACTGTGAAAACCACAAATATGTGTGATGAACTGTTTTTAAAACTTAAACTTCAAATAAAAATTGTAAACTTCAAAACATATGCAAATTTTTAACAAAGAACATAGTAATTTACATCTATTTACATCAAAATGCAGGCAATGGCCCAGGTGTTCTTTGTAAAATTATTTACAAAACACTGTATAGTCTCACAAATGTCACTTTTTATTTATGCCACTACAAAAAAACATGATGTACATGATGCATGATGTAAAACATGATGTAAAAAACTTGTGTAGATCCTCCTCTATGTTAGTCCATGTGTAATTTTTCCATAATTCTTTGTTTTTTGCAGCATTTTTGTTAGTGTAACTGCAGATTGTGCTGACAGTGTCTATGGCAAAAAAAAAAAAACTGAAAATGCCTCAACATGAACCCCTGGTGGTCTCTGAGGGTGAAACCTGCTAACTGCTGCAGCTCTGTCAGCTTCAGTCTCCCATGCAGAGCTCGGAGCGCATGTGTGGCTCTGCACCCTTAGCAGCGTTGCTAACTCCTCAGTAAGGAAAGCCTGCTTCATGTCAGAGTCTCTAAACTCCAGAAGAAGTCGATAAAAGTCACTTTCTTTCTAAAAAAAGTCGTTAGGGGGTCTGAAAAGTCATTGAATCTAACAACAAAGTCGCTAGGTTTGCAACTACGTGTCCCAGACTGCATCCCTGCTGAGAGTCCCTCCCTCCCTTCTCATATTGCAGGAAGAACGTAAGTTCCGGCCCCTTGTCAATCAGTCACCATATAATTTTGGATTGGTTGTTGTGGTGAAGTTTTCCACCAATAGGAGAGATGTTGTGGTGTGTTTTTTTTTTCCTTTGGCAAGCCTTTTCCGCCTGTAAGACCTGTCGCTAATGTCTGCATGCTATGTTTTCCTGTCTCATACAGCGCGATCGAGCGCCGAACGTGATCAAAATAAGCAGAAAACAAGTATCGCGGAAATAATTTATCATAACTCTGGTTTTATTTGGCCTATCAACACAATTTAAAAACTGGTATATAGGTTGAGGTCCTCACTTTTGAGATAAATTGAAACGGAGAGTCAACGAGGCTCCGTCTTGCAGCTACATCCGGTTAAATATGTCATGTGACTTGAACGCACACACACACACACACACACACACACACACACACACACACACAGACACACACACACACGCACACACACACACACTCAGGGTCTGGTTTTTAGCACCTGCAAAAACATGCTATTTACATATTTGACAAGAATGCAGAGGCTCCTTTTGCCCCTGAAAAAAATCAAATTTCAAACACAACTTGACTAGTCATTTCTCCAAAAGACAACCATGAAGCTCCATCCAAACCTGAAGCAGGCAGTTGGTGCATGTGTACAGTAACCTGAGGGGAGTGAGGTGACTGCTTCTGAGGAGAACATGAGCAGTGAAGATTCACCTTAGAGCTAGAACAGAGACGTGCACATGATTATACAGGGGCAGGGGCTCAAGTTTTTTCCAGTTGTTTATACAATATGGAAATTAATGTGAAATTAAAAAACAAAGTATTAATAGAAAGGTAATGACTGTCCTGTGTACGTGACAGTGATATCCAATAGGCTAGGCACTCACGAGGCTGGCTGTGGCAAGTGTAAGTGAAAGCAACACGCACTGGCAGGAAGAACAGCAAACGCCGATGAAGGAAAAGGGTCTTTGCAGTGATGGGCGTTACCAGAGAGGGCGATGGCCAGAGGACACAAATGGGACGGGGAGGCAGCGCGTTGGGGGGGGGACGCGACACAGCTCGGGCCCGCCAGTGCCCCAACGGGGTCCTAGTTAGGGCCCGAGCCAGCTGCAGAGCAGCCGGGCGTAGGCCCTGTTATTCCTGTAGGGGTTTTTTAGGGCCCGAGCGTAGCTGCTAAGCAGCTGCGAGAGCCCTATTATTCCCCAAGTGGTTTTTCTTTGTTTCTTTCTTTCTTTCTTTCTTTCTTTCTTTCTTTCTTCTTTTTCCTCCCCTTTGAACTGGAAAATGGCCCACTTCCCACTGGCGAAAACTCATGAAATTTGGCAGGACGACCGGGCCTGGTGAAAAATTTGATATTCCGAAGTCGGCCAAACAAGAAAATGCAAAATGGCTCCATAGCGCCCCCTAAGGTGAAAATTCACACTATTGACTGTCACGCCTGTACGCTTTGTCAAAATGACACAAAAATTGACACACACATGTATCTCAATAAGATCTACAAAAAAGTCAGTGCGGGCGTATCTGTCAAATGTACGGTTAAAGGGTTATTTCGCATTTTTTGCCGATCCGCACACATTGGAATTTCGCTAACTCCTCCAAAGGCTTTCTTTCCACCGGCACCACATTTGCTCAGGCCAATCTACACCCCATGGCCATTAAAAGTTATTCAAATCATGACGCTGCACCCCACGGTTTAGGTTCTAGGGGGCGCCAAAGATAACCCTAAAATCCACATATTTAAAAGTCTTATAACTTTTTATTTTTGTCCTCACTGGCCTCCAAGTTTTCTAGGATGATGCAATGTCCAGCCATCAACACATTTGTGAAGGAATTTTTACTCCCCAAAAGAGCGCCCCCCATGGCAGGAGAAAAAAGTCCATTTTTTCTTGTCCCCTAAGGTGAAAATACACATTGTTGAGTGTCACGCCTGTACGCTTTGTCAAAATGACACAAAAATTGACACACACATGTATCTCAATAAGATCTACAAAAAAGTCCATGCGCGCGTATCTGTCAAATGTACGGTTAAAGGGTTATTCCGCATTTTTTGCCGATTTGCACACATTGGAATTTCGCTAACTCCTCCGAAGGCTTTCGTTCCACCGGCACCACATTTGCTCAGGCCAATCTACACCCCATGGCCATTAAAAGTTATTCAAATCATGACGCTGCACCCCACGGTTTAGGTTCTAGGGGGCGCCAAAGATAACCCTAAAATCCACATATTTAAAAGTCTTATAACTTTTTATTTTTGCCCTCACTGGCCTCCAAGTTTTCTAGGATGATGCAATGTCCAGCCATCAACACATTTGTGAAGGAATTTTTACTCCCCAAAAGAGCGCCCCCCCATGGCAGGAGAAAAAAGTCCATTTTTTCTTGTCCCCTGAGGTGAAAATACACATTGTTGAGTGTCACGCCTGTACGCTTTGTCAAAATGACACAAAAATTGACACACACATGTATCTCAATAAGATCTACAAAAAAGTCCATGCGCGCGTATCTGTCAAATGTACGGTTAAAGGGTTATTCCGCATTTTTTGCCGATTTGCACACATTGGAATTTCGCTAACTCCTCCGAAGGCTTTCGTTCCACCGGCACCACATTTGCTCAGGCCAATCTACACCCCATGGCCATTAAAAGTTATTCAAATCATGACGCTGCACCCCACGGTTTACGTTCTAGGGGGCGCCAAAGATAACCCAAAAATCCACATTTTTAAAAGTCTTATAACTTTTTATTTTTGTCCTCACTGGCCTCCAAGTTTTCTAGGATGATGCAATGTCCAGCCATCAACACATTTGTGAAGGAATTTTTACTCCCTAAAAGAGCGCCCCCCATGGCAGGAGAAAAAAGTCCATTTTTTCTTGTCCCCTAAGGTGAAAATACACATTGTTGACTGTCACGCCTGTACGCTTTGGCAAAATGACACAAAAATTGACAATCATGTGTATCTCAATTAGATCTACGAAAAAGTCAAAGAGCGCGTATCTGTATAATGTACGGTAAAAGGGCTATTTTGCATTTTTTGCCGATTCGCACACATTGGAATTTCGCTAACTCCTCCTAAGGCTTTCGTCCCACTGACACCAAATTTGCTCAGGCCAATCTACACTCCATGGCCATTCAAAGTTGTAAAAATCATGACGCTGCACCCCACGGTTTACGTTTTAGGGGGCGCCAAAGATGACCCAAATATACATTACAGTAGACAAAGTAGTTTTGCCCACTGAGTGGCGCCAAAGGGACTTGTCTGTGGAGTCTGGGAGTCACTATTGGCCGTTTTTGACTACTTTAGATTTGACCTTTATATTTCCTCTTACAAAATTTTTACCTTGCCTTGCCTGGTATCATTCTTTTCAGCACAACCTCACCTGTGTCAATTTACAGTTATTTTATCATTTTGACATACTATATTTACACATTGGACCCAAATTCACACACAAAACATAAAATCCGAGTGGAAAAAAGTAACGTTTTTACTGTGAAAACCACAAATATGTGTGATGAACTGTTTTTAAAACTTAAACTTCAAATAAAAATTGTAAACTTCAAAACATATGCAAATTTTTAACAAAGAACATAGTAATTTACCTCTATTCACATCAAAATGCAGGCAATGGCCCAGGTGTTCTTTGTAAAATTATTTACAAAACACTGTATAGTCTCACAAATGTCACTTTTTATTTATGCCACTACAAAAAAACATGATGTAAATGATGCATGATGTAAAACATGATGTAAAAAACTTGTGTAGATCCTCCTCTATGTTAGTCCATGTGTAATTTTTCCATAATTCTTTGTTTTTTGCAGCATTTTTGTTAGTGTAACTGCAGATTGTGCTGACAGTGTCTATGGCAAAAAAAAAAAAAAAACTGAAAATGCCTCAACATGAACCCCTGGTGGTCTCTGAGGGTGAAACCTGCTAACTGCTGCAGCTCTGTCAGCTTCAGTCTCCCATGCAGAGCTCTGAGCGCATGTGTGGCTCTGCACCCTTAGCAGCGTTGCTAACTCCTCAGTAAGGAAAGCCTGCTTCATGTCAGAGTCTCTAAACTCCAGAAGAAGTCGATAAAAGTCACTTTCTTTCTAAAAAAAGTCGTTAGGGGGTCTGAAAAGTCATTGAATCTAACAACAAAGTCGCTAGGTTTGCAACTACGTGTCCCAGACTGCATCCCTGTTGAGAGTCCCTCCCTCCCTTCTCATATTGCAGGAAGAACGTAAGCGCCCGCCCCTTGTCAATCAGTCACCATATAATTTTGGATTGGTTGTTGTGGTGAAGTTTTCCACCAATAGGAGAGATGTTGTGGTGTGTTTTTTTTTTCCTTTGGCAAGCCTTTTCCGCCTGTAAGACCTGTCGCTAATGTCTGCATGCTATGTTTTCCTGTCTCATACAGCGCGATCGAGCGCCGAACGTGATCAAAATAAGCAGAAAACAAGTATCGCGGACATAATTTATCATAACTCTGGTTTTATTTGGCCTATCAACACAATTTAAAAACTGGTATATAGGTTGAGGTCCTCACTTTTGAGATAAGTTGAAACGGAGTCAACGAGGCTCCGTCTTGCAGCTACATCCGGTTAAATATGTCATGTGACTTGAACGCACACACACACACACACACACACACACACACAGACACACACACACACGCACACACACACACTCAGAGTCTGGTTTTTAGCACCTGCAAAAACATGCTATTTACATATTTGACAAGAATGCAGAGGCTCCTTTTGCCCCTGAAAAAAATCAAATTTCAAACACAACTTGACTGCTCATTTCTCCAAAAGACAACCATGAAGCTCCATCCAAACCTGAAGCAGGCAGTTGGTGCATGTGTACAGTAACCTGAGGGGAGTGAGGTGACTGCTTCTGAGGAGAACATGAGCAGTGAAGATTCACCTTAGAGCTAGAACAGAGACGTGCACATGATTATACAGGAGCAGGGGCTCAAGTTTTTTCCAGTTGTTTATACAATATGGAAATTAATGTGAAATTAAAAAACAAAGTATTAATAGAAAGGTAATGATTGTCCTGAGTAGGTGACAGTGATATCCAATAGGCTAGGCACTCAAGAGGCTGGCTGTGGCAAGTGTAAGTGAAAGCAACACGCACTGGCAGGAAGAACAGCAAACGCCGATGAAGGAAAAGGGTCTTTGCAGTGATGGGCGTTACCAGAGAGGGCGATGGCCAGAGGACACAAATGGGACGGGGAGGCAGCGCGTTGGGGGGGGGACGCGACACAGCTCGGGCCCGCCAGTGCCCCAACGGGGTCCTAGTCTTTAGGGCCCGAGCGTAGCTGCTAAGCAGCTGCGAGAGCCCTATTATTCCCCAAGGGGTTTTTTAGGGCCCGAGCGTAGCTGCTAAGCAGCTGCGAGAGCCCTCTTGTTCCTGTAGTTTCCTTCTTTTGTTATTATTATTTTTCCTCCCCTTTGAACTGGAAAATGGCCCACTTCCCACTGGCGAAAACTCATGAAATTTGGCAGGACGACCGGGCCTGGTGAAAAATTTGATATTCCGAAGTCGCCCAAACAAGAAAATGCAAAATGGCTCCATAGCGCCCCCTAAGGTGAAAATTCACACTATTGACTGTCACGCCTGTACGCTTTGTCAAAATGACACAAAAATTGACACACACATGTATCTCAATAAGATCTACAAAAAAGTCAGTGCGGGCGTATCTGTCAAATGTACGGTTAAAGGGTTATTTCGCATTTTTTGCCGATCCGCACACATTGGAATTTCGCTAACTCCTCCGAAGGCTTTCGTTCCACCGGCACCACATTTGCTCAGGCCAATCTACACCCCATGGCCATTAAAAGTTATTCAAATCATGACGCTGCACCCCACGGTTTAGGTTCTAGGGGGCGCCAAAGATAACCCTAAGATCCACATATTTAAAAGTCTTATAACTTTTTATTTTTGCCCTCACTGGCCTCCAAGTTTTCTAGGATGATGCAATGTCCAGCCATCAACACATTTGTGAAGGAATTTTTACTCCCCAAAAGAGCGCCCCCCCATGGCAGGAGAAAAAAGTCCATTTTTTCTTGTCCCCTAAGGTGAAAATACACATTGTTGAGTGTAACACCTGTACGCTTTGGCAAAATGACACAAAAATTGACACACACATGTATCTCAATAAGATCTACGAAAAAGTCAATGCGCGCGTATCTGTCAAATGTACGGTTAAAGGGTTATTCCGCATTTTTTGCCGATCCGCACACATTGGAATTTCGCTAACTCCTCCGAAGGCTTTCATTCCACCGGTACCACATTTGCTCAGGCCAATCTACACCCCATGGCCATTAAAAGTTATTCAAATCATGACGCTGCATCCCACGGTTTAGGTTCTAGGGGGCGCCAAAGATAACCCTAAAATCCACATATTTAAAAGTCTTATAACTTTTTATTTTTGTCCTCACTGGCCTCCAAGTTTTCTAGGATGATGCAATGTCCAGCCATCAACACATTTGTGAAGGAATTTTTACTGCCCAAAAGAGCGCCCCCCATGGCAGGAAAAAAAAGCCAATTTTTTCTTGTCCCCTAAGGTGGAAATTCACACTATTGACTGTCACGCCTGTACGCTTTATCATATTGACACAAAAATTGACACACATATGTATCTCAATAAGATCTACAAAAGAGTCGATTCGCGCGTATCTGTCAAATGTACGGTTAAAGGGCTATTTTGCATTTTTTGCCGATTCGCACACATTGGAATGTGGCTAACTCCTCCTAAGGCTTTCGTCCCACTGACACCAAATTTGCTCAGGCCAATCTACACCCCACGGCCATTCAAAGTTGTAAAAATCATGACGCTGCACCCCACGGTTTACGTTCTAGGGGGCGCCAAAGATAACCCAAAAATCCACATTCTTCAAAGAATCCACATCCCCCCCCCTATGGCAGGAGAAAAAGTCAAGTTTTTCCTGCCCATCGCTCAATGGCTCAATCGCATCGCTCTCCAGGCAACACCGTAAGGAGGAGCAACCTGCCATTTCGATATATCATAGCTGTGTTTGTGCCCTCACTCATGGTCCAGACTTTTTTCAAATAGGACATGAAGTTTGTCTGCAGCGAGTGTTTTGGTAGAAACTGCGCCTCCCATTCATTATAATAGGAAATGACCACAGACAAGTGCGCACACCATCTTTGGATCTTGAGTGTGACGCGATCGGGAGGGGGAGGCGGTCGCACTGGGGGCGGCGCGACACGGCTCGGGCCCGACAGTGCCCCAACGGGGTCCTAGTTAGGGCCCGAGCGTAGCTGCTAAGCAGCTGCGAGAGCCCTCTTGTTCCTGTAGTTTCCTTCTTTTGTTATTATTATTTTTCCTCCCCTTTGAACTGGAAAATGGCCCACTTCCCACTGGCGAAAACTCATGAAATTTGGCAGGACGACCGGGCCTGGTGAAAAATTTGATATTCCGAAGTCGCCCAAACAAGAAAATGCAAAATGGCTCCATAGCGCCCCCTAAGGTGAAAATTCACACTATTGACTGTCACGCCTGTACGCTTTGTCAAAATGACACAAAAATTGACACACACATGTATCTCAATAAGATCTACAAAAAAGTCAGTGCGGGCGTATCTGTCAAATGTACGGTTAAAGGGTTATTTCGCATTTTTTGCCGATCCGCACACATTGGAATTTCGCTAACTCCTCCGAAGGCTTTCGTTCCACCGGCACCACATTTGCTCAGGCCAATCTACACCCCATGGCCATTAAAAGTTATTCAAATCATGACGCTGCACCCCACGGTTTAGGTTCTAGGGGGCGCCAAAGATAACACTAAGATCCACATATTTAAAAGTCTTATAACTTTTTATTTTTGCCCTCACTGGCCTCCAAGTTTTCTAGGATGATGCAATGTCCAGCCATCAACACATTTGTGAAGGAATTTTTACTCCCCAAAAGAGCGCCCCCCCATGGCAGGAGAAAAAAGTCCATTTTTTCTTGTCCCCTAAGGTGAAAATACACATTGTTGAGTGTAACACCTGTACGCTTTGGCAAAATGACACAAAAATTGACACACACATGTATCTCAATAAGATCTACGAAAAAGTCAATGCGCGCGTAGCTGTCAAATGTACGGTTAAAGGGTTATTCCGCATTTTTTGCCGATCCGCACACATTGGAATTTCGCTAACTCCTCCGAAGGCTTTCTTTCCACCGGCACCACATTTGCTCAGGCCAATCTACACCCCATGGCCATTAAAAGGTATTCAAATCATGACGCTGCACCCCACGGTTTAGGTTCTAGGGGGCGCCAAAGATAACCCTAAAATCCACATATTTAAAAGTCTTATAACTTTTTATTTTTGTCCTCACTGGCCTCCAAGTTTTCTAGGATGATGCAATGTCCAGCCATCAACACATTTGTGAAGGAATTTTTACTCCCCAAAAGAGCGCCCCCCCATGGCAGGAGAAAAAAGTCAATTTTTTCTTGTCCCCTAAGGTGGAAATTCACACTATTGACTGTCACGCCTGTACGCTTTATCATATTGACACAAAATTTGACAATCACATGTATCTCAATAAGATCTACAAAAAAGTCAATGTGCGCGTATCTGTCAAATGTACGGTTAAAGGGCTATTTTGCATTTTTTGCCGATTCGCACACATTGGAATGTGGCAAACTCCTCCTAAGGCTTTCGTCCCACTGACACCAAATTTGCTCAGGCCAATCTACACCCCATGGTCATTCAAAGTTGTAAAAATCATGACGCTGCACCCCACGGTTTACGTTCTAGGGGGCGCCAAAGATGACCCAAATATCCACATTCTTAAAAGAATCCACATCCCCCCCCATCCCCCAACCCCCATGGCAGGAGAAACAGTCAAGTTTTTCCTGCCCATCACTCAATGGCTCAATCGCATCACTCTCCCGGCAACACCGTAACAAGGAGCAACTTGCCGTTTGGATATATCCTAGCTGTGTTTGTGCCCTCACTCATGGTCCAGACTTTTTTCAAATAGGACATGTAGTTTGTCTGCAGCGAGTGTTTTGGTAGAAACTGCGCCTCCCATTCATTATAATGGGAAATGACCACAGACAAGTGCGCACACCATCTTTGGACCTTGAATGTGACGCGATCGGGAGGGGGAGGCGGTCGCGCTGGGGGCGGCGCAACGCGGCTCGGGCCCGACAGTGCCCCACTGGGGCCCTAGTTGTTTCTTTCTTTCTTCTTTTTCCTCCCCTTTGAACTGGAAAATGGCCCACTTCCCACTGGCGAAAACTCATGAAATTTGGCAGGATGACCGGGCCTGGTGAAAAATTTGATATTCCGAAGTCGCCCAAACAAGAAAATGCAAAATGGCTCCATAGCGCCCCCTAAGGTGAAAATTCACACTATTGACTGTCACGCCTTTACGCTTTGTCAAAATGACACGAAAATTGACACACATATGTATCTCAATAAGATCTACAAAAAAGTCAGTGCGGGCGTATCTGTCAAATGTACGGTTAAAGGGTTATTCCGCATTTTTTGCCGATCCGCACACATTGGAATTTCGCTAACTCCTCCGAAGGCTTTCTTTCCACCGGCACCACATTTGCTCAGGCCAATCTACACCCCATGGCCATTAAAAGTTATTCAAATCATGACGCTGCACCCCACGGTTTAGGTTCTAGGGGGCGCCAAAGATAACCCTAAAATCCACATATTTCAAAGTCTTATAACTTTTTATTTTTGCCCTCACTGGCCTCCAAGTTTTCTAGGATGATGCAATGTCCAGCCATCAACACATTTGTGAAGGAATTTTTACTCCCCAAAAGAGCGCCCCCCATGGCCGGAGAAAAAAGTCCATTTTTTCTTGTCCCCTAAGGTGAAAATACACATTGTTGAGTGTCACGCCTGTACGCTTTGTCATATTGACACAAAATTTGACAATCACGTGTATCTCAATAAGATCTACGAAAAAGTCAATGCGCGCGTATCTGTCAAATGTACGGTTAAAGGGTTATTCCGCATTTTTTGCTGATCCGCACACATTGGAATTTCGCTAACTCCTCCTAAGGCTGGCGTTCCACCGGCACCACATTTGCTCAGGCCAATCTACACCCCATGGCCATTAAAAGTTATTCAAATCATGACACTGCACCCCACGGTTTAGGTTCTAGGGGGCGCCAAAGATAACCCTAAAATCCACATATTTCAAAGTCTTATAACTTTTTATTTTTGTCCTCACTGGCCTCCAAGTTTTCTAGGATAATGCAATGTCCAGCCATCAACACATTTGTGAAGGAATTTTTACTCCCCAAAAGAGCGCCCCCCCATGGCAGGAGAAAAAAGTCCATTTTTTCTTGTCCCGTAAGGTGAAAATTCACATTGTTGAGTGTGACACCTGTACGCTTTGTCATATTGACACAAAATTTGACAATCACGTGTATCTCAATAAGATCTACGAAAAAGTCAATGGGTGCGTATCTGTCAAATGTACGGTTAGAGGGCTATTTTGCATTTTTTGCCGATTCGCACACATTGGAATGTGGCTAACTCCTCCTAAGGCTTTCGTCCCACTGACACCAAATTTGCTCAGGCCAATCTACACCCCATGGCCATTCAAAGTTGTAAAAATCATGACGCTGCACCCCACGGTTTACGTTCTAGGGGGCGCCAAAGATGACCAAAAAATCCACATTCTTAAAAGAATCCACATTCTCCCCCCATGGCAGTAGAAAAAGTCAAGTTTTTCCTGCCCATCGCTCAATGGCTCAATCGCATCGCTCTCCAGGCAACACCGTAAGGAGGAGCAACCTGCCATTTGGATATATCCCAGCTGTGTTTGTGCCCTCACTCATGGTCCAGACTTTTTTCAAATAGGACATGAAGTTTGTCTGCAGCGAGTGTTTTGGTAGAAACTGCGCCTCCCATTCATTATAATGGGAAATGACCACAGACAAGTGCGCACACCATCTTTGGACCTTGAGTGTGACGCGATCGGGAGGGGTAGGCGGTCACGCTGGGGGCGGCACGACGCGGCTCGGGCCCGACAGTGCCCCACCGGGGCCCTAGTCTTTGTTTCTTTCTTTCTTTCTTTCTTCTTTTTCCTCCCCTTTGAACTGGAAAATGGCCCACTTCCCACTGGCGAAAACTCATGAAATTTGGCAGGACGACCGGGCCTGGTGAAAAATTTGATATTCCGAAGTCGCCCAAACAAGAAAATGCAAAATGGCTCCATAGCGCCCCCTAAGGTGAAAATTCACACTATTGACTGTCACGCGTGTACGCTTTGTCAAAATGACACAAAAATTGACACACACATGTATCTCAATAAGATCTACAAAAAAGTCAGTGCGGGCGTATCTGTCAAATGTACGGTTAAAGGGTTATTTCGCATTTTTTGCCGATCCGCACACATTGGAATTTCGCTAACTCCTCCGAAGGCTTTCGTTCCACCGGCACCACATTTGCTCAGGCCAATCTACACCCCATGGCCATTAAAAGTTATTCAAATCATGACGCTGCACCCCACGGTTTAGGTTCTAGGGGGCGCCAAAGATAACCCTAAGATCCACATATTTAAAAGTCTTATAACTTTTTATTTTTGCCCTCACTGGCCTCCAAGTTTTCTAGGATGATGCAATGTCCAGCCATCAACACATTTGTGAAGGAATTTTGACTCCCCAAAAGAGCGCCCCCCCATGGCAGGAGAAAAAAGTCCATTTTGTCTTGTCCCCTAAGGTGAAAATACACATTGTTGAGTGTAACACCTGTACGCTTTGGCAAAATGACACAAAAATTGACACACACATGTATCTCAATAAGATCTACGAAAAAGTCAAAGCACGCGTATCTGTCAAATGTACGGTTAAAGGGTTATTCCGCATTTTTTGCCGATCCGCACACATTGGAATTTCGCTAACTCCTCCGAAGGCTTTCGTTCCACCGGCACCACATTTGCTCAGGCCAATCTACACCCCATGGCCATTAAAAGTTATTCAAATCATGACGCTGCACCCCACGGTTTAGGTTCTAGGGGGCGCCAAAGATAACACTAAAATCCACATATTTAAAAGTCTTATAACTTTTTATTTTTGTCCTCACTGGCCTCCAAGTTTTCTAGGATGATGCAATGTCCAGCCATCAACACATTTGTGAAGGAATTTTTACTCCCCAAAAGAGCGCCCCCCCATGGCAGGAGAAAAAAGTCAATTTTTTCTTGTCCCCTAAGGTGGAAATTCACACTATTGACTGTCACGCCTGTACGCTTTATCATATTGACACAAAAATTGACACACATATGTATCTCAATAAGATCTACAAAAAAGTCAATGCGCGCGTATCTGTAAAATGTACGGTTAAAGGGCTATTTTGCATTTTTTGCCGATTCGCACACATTGGAATGTGGCTAACTCCTCCTAAGGCTTTCGTCCCACTGACACCAAATTTGCTCAGGCCAATCTACACCCCATGGCCATGCAAAGTTGTAAAAATCATGACGCTGCACCCCACGGTTTACGTTCTAGGGGGCGCCAAAGATGACCCAAAAATCCACATTCTTAAAGGAATCCACATCCCCCCCCCCCCAAGGCAGGAGAAAAAGTCAAGTTTAACCTGCCCATCGCTCAATGGCTCAATCGCATCGCTCTCCAGGCAACACCGTAAGGAGGAGCAACCTGCCATTTCGATATATCATAGCTGTGTTTGTGCCCTCACTCATGGTCCAGACTTTTTTCAAATAGGACATGAAGTTTGTCTGCAGCGAGTGTTTTGGTAGAAACTGCGCCTCCCATTCATTATAATGGGAAATGACCACAGACAAGTGCGCACACCATCTTTGGACCTTGAGTGTGACGCGATCGGGAGGGGGAGGCGGTCGCGCTGGGGGCGGCGCGACGCGGCTCGGGCCCGACAGTGCCCCACCGGGGCCCTAGTTGTTTCTTTCTTTCTTCTTTTTCCTCCCCTTTGAACTGGAAAATGGCCCACTTCCCACTGGCGAAAACTCAGGAAATTTGGCAGGACGACCGGGCCTGGTGAAAAATTTGATATTCCGAAGTCGCCCAAACAAGAAAATGCAAAATGGCTCCATAGCGCCCCCTAAGGTGAAAATTCACACTATTGACTGTCACGCCTGTACGCTTTGTCAAAATGACACAAAAATTGACACACACATGTATCTCAATAAGATCTACAAAAAAGTCAGTGCGGGCGTATCTGTCAAATGTACGGTTAAAGGGTTATTTTGCATTTTTTGCCGATCCGCACACATTGGAATTTCGCTAACTCCTCCGAAGGCTTTCGTTCCACCGGCACCACATTTGCTCAGGCCAATCTACACCCCATGGCCATTAAAAGTTATTCAAATCATGACGCTGCACCCCACGGTTTAGGTTCTAGGGGGCGCCAAAGATAACCCTAAAATCCACATTTTTAAAAGTCTTATAACTTTTTATTTTTGCCCTCACTGGCCTCCAAGTTTTCTAGGATGATGCAATGTCCAGCCATCAACACATTTGTGAAGGAATTTTTACTCCCCAAAAGAGCGCCCCCCATGGCAGGAGAAAAAAGTCCATTTTTTTCTTGTCCCCTAAGGTGAAAATACACATTGTTGAGTGTCACGCCTGTACGCTTTGTCAAAATGACACAAAAATTGACACACACATGTATCTCAATAAGATCTACAAAAAAGTCAGTGCGCGCGTATCTGTCTAATGTACGGTTAAAGGGTTATTCCGCATTTTTTGCCGATTCGCACACATTGGAATTTCGCTAACTCCTCCGAAGGCTTTCGTTCCACCGGCACCACATTTGCTCAGGCCAAATTACACCCCATGGCCATTAAAAGTTATTCAAATCATGACGCTGCACCCCACGGTTTATGTTCTAGGGGGCGCCAAAGATAACCCAAAAATCCACATTTTTAAAAGTCTTATAACTTTTTATTTTTGTCCTCACTGGCCTCCAAGTTTTCTAGGATGATGCAATGTCCAGCCATCAACACATTTGTGAAGGAATTTTTACTCCCCAAAAGAGTGCCCCCCCCCATGGCAGGAGAAAAAAGTCCATTTTTTCTTGTCCCCTAAGGTGAAAATACACATTGTTGACTGTCACGCCTGTACGCTTTGGCAAAATGACACAAAAATTGACAATCATGTGTATCTCAATTAGATCTACGAAAAAGTCAAAGAGCGCGTATCTGTATAATGTACGGTAAAAGGGCTATTTTGCATTTTTTGCCGATTCGCACACATTGGAATTTCGCTAACTCCTCCTAAGGCTTTCGTCCCACTGACACCAAATTTGCTCAGGCCAATCTACACTCCATGGCCATTCAAAGTTGTAAAAATCATGACGCTGCACCCCACGGTTTACGTTTTAGGGGGCGCCAAAGATGACCCAAATATACATTACAGTAGACAAAGTAGTTTTGCCCACTGAGTGGCGCCAAAGGGACTTGTCTGTGGAGTCTGTGAGTCACTATTGGCCGTTTTTGACTACTTTAGATTTTACCTTTATATTTCCTCTTACAAAATTTTTACCTTGCCTTGCCTGGTATCATTTTTTTCAGCACAACCTCACCTGTGTCAATTTACAGTTATTTTATCATTTTGACATACTATATTTACACATTGGACCCAAATTCACACACAAAACATAAAATCCGAGTGGAAAAAAGTAACGTTTTTACTGTGAAAACCACAAATATGTGTGATGAACTGTTTTTAAAACTTAAACTTCAAATAAAAATTGTAAACTTCAAAACATATGCAAATTTTTAACAAAGAACATAGTAATTTACCTCTATTGACATCAAAATGCAGGCAATGGCCCAAGTGTTCTTTGTAAAATTATTTACAAAACACTGTATAGTCTCACAAATGTCACTTTATATTTATGCCACTACAAAAAAACATGATGTAAATGATGCATGATGTAAAACATGATGTAAAAAACTTGTGTAGATCCTCCTCTATGTTAGTCCATGTGTAATTTTTCCATAATTCTTTGTTTTTTGCAGCATTTTTGTTAGTGTAACTGCAGATTGTGCTGACAGTGTCTATGGCAAAAAAAAAAAAAAAAAACTGAAAATGCCTCAACATGAACCCCTGGTGGTCTCTGAGGGTGAAACCTGCTAACTGCTGCAGCTCTGTCAGCTTCAGTCTCCCATGCAGAGCTCGGAGCGCATGTGTGGCTCTGCACCCTTAGCAGCGTTGCTAACTCCTCAGTAAGGAAAGCCTGCTTCATGTCAGAGTCTCTAAACTCCAGAAGAAGTCGATAAAAGTCACTTTCTTTCTAAAAAAAAGTCGTTAGGGGGTCTGAAAAGTCATTGAATCTAACAACAAAGTCGCTAGGTTTGCAACTACGTGTCCCAGACTGCATCCCTGCTGAGAGTCCCTCCCTCCCTTCTCATATTGCAGGAAGAACGTAAGTTCCCGCCCCTTGTCAATCAGTCACCATATAATTTTGGATTGGTTGTTGTGGTGAAGTTTTCCACCAATAGGAGAGATGTTGTGGTGTGTTTTTTTTTTTCCTTTGGCAAGCCTTTTCCGCCTGTAAGACCTGTCGCTAATGTCTGCATGCTATGTTTTCCTGTCTCATACAGCGCGATCGAGCGCCGAACGTGATCAAAATAAGCAGAAAACAAGTATCGTGGACATAATTTATCATAACTCTGGTTTTACTTGGCCTATCAACACAATTTAAAAACTGGTATATAGGTTGAGGTCCTCACTTTTGAGATAAATTGAAACGGAGAGTCAACGAGGCTCCGTCTTGCAGCTACATCCGGTTAAATATGTCATGTGACTTGAACGCGCACACACACACACACACACACACACACACACACACACACACACACACACACACACACACACACTCAGAGTCTGGTTTTTAGCACCTGCAAAAACATGCTATTTACATATTTGACAAGAATGCAGAGGCTCCTTTTGCCCCTGAAAAAAATCAAATTTCAAACACAACTTGACTGGTCATTTCTCCAAAAGACAACCATGAAGCTCCATCCAAACCTGAAGCAGGCAGTTGGTGCATGTGTACAGTAACCTGAGGGGAGTGAGGTGACTGCTTCTGAGGAGAACATGAGCAGTGAAGATTCACCTTAGAGCTAGAACAGAGACGTGCACATGATTATACAGGGGCAGGGGCTCAAGTTTTTTCCAGTTGTTTATACAATATGGAAATTAATGTGAAATTAAAAAACAAAGTATTAATAGAAAGGTAATGACTGTCCTGTGTAGGTGACAGTGATATCCAATAGGCTAGGCACTCACGAGGCTGGCTGTGGCAAGTGTAAGTGAAAGCAACACGCACTGGCAGGAAGAACAGCAAACGCCGATGAAGGAAAAGGGTCTTTGCAGTGATGGGCGTTACCAGAGAGGGCGATGGCCAGAGGACACAAATGGGACGGGGAGGCAGCGCGTTGGGGGGGGGACGCGACACAGCTCGGGCCCGCCAGTGCCCCAACGGGGTCCTAGTTTATGTTATTAATGTCAGTAATGTCAGTCTTGAATGGTGTAAACATGGATGAAATAGTCAATCCCACCACTGTACTATTTTTGATTTTATACCATTTTCTACACGGAAGAAAAGTATGTGTGGTAAAGCTCTTGAAAAGATAAGCTGTCAATAGTGAGGTATAACTTTATCTACGATATTATAAAATTTCCCGTTATTGGACAATTTTCATTCAACATAATGAATACTTCGACTCCTTGAGTTATTTCCTGTCTTTGGTACGAAAGTCTGAATCTTTCAAAATAATTCTTTCACACTGGGCATGAACTAGACCGTGGTTCAATTTGGTCTGGACCGAGACCACCTCTTTTGCTCGGACTAAGGCTCTTGGGAGGTTTCATACCTATCATTTTGGTTCAGGCTAAAGAGAGAAGTCCAAAAGTCCGGACCAAACAACGTAGGTGTGAAAGCCCTTTCAATATTTGCATATTGAGAAGTGTCTGTTAACTATGACTGATAGCTAAAAGTTAAGAATGGTATGACTGCTGCAGGTCAAATGTTGGACCAGGATATCACAGACACTTTACCCAAAAGCAGCGATGCCTACAAGCCAGTATCCTCCCATTTAGACAGTCCATTTAAGATTTCCAGTCTCTGCCTCTGCCCTGTGAGTGCCTCTGCTGCCCTGCACCAGTGCTGCACTCAAACCGTCAGCCCCAACACCACCCTAGCATCTACCTGCAGATTCAGACTACAGACATTTTATGGTACTTTGCAATCCCTCCTTAATTTCTGCATCTAAGTGAGGAGTGATGAGGTTTGAAGCATCAAACGAGAACAATGTTCTGCAGCTGCACTTAAGTATTGAGAGATACATTTTGGTTTTAATTTCTACATTAGAGTTGTTTTCAAGTAATTACCAAGAACAAATGACTCATTATGTATCTGAAAGTTACCTTTTTATAAAGGTGAACATTTCAAAAGTAGAAAAAAGGAAATAATCTAAAGCAAAAGCCATCTCATAACTCAGCAAAGATCAGATCTTGAATAAATACACTTCCTGTGCCTGGAGCTCATTCAGATTTTGACTCAGTCTTATCAGGAAATGGGAGAATATGACTGAGTAGATGGATTTCATTCAGTCCTGGACTCCCTGCTGCTGCTGATCCAGGGGAGGCCTGGCAGCGGGGACACATTACTCTGTTTTTATCACAAACTTCTCGCTTACTCCAGCCCAGGCTATCCATCCATCTATCTCCTGCTGGATTCAAAATTGCCTGGGTTATCTTTCTTATTCTGTGGTGTAAGTAATATTCACCGTACACCTCCACTGAGACCGAGTAAAACAGCCCCCAAAGGCCCTTTGCAAAACTCCCTGATAATAACTAGACCTGCGGCATTTGCTGCACTGATGAGGGGAGCGTGCTACATTCACTGTCTGTGAAAACCTGCTAAGACCTACTGAATGCAAACATCCGTACAAATCCTTTGTCCTGCAGAAAAGAAAGTCCTTTGTCCTGCCTTATCTCCCTGTGAAATGTGAGATCTATTTGCAGAGGAGTTGTTGTCCCTGGCAATGGAGAGCTCCATATGTTCCACATTTGTTTACCCACTCATTACTGGCCTCTCCACCCTGTGTGACTACACTGTTGTCTTAACAGGAGTCACACTGTCATTACACTCCCCCCCACCCCCACTCTTCTCCTTCATCACCATCGTCACGGGAACAGCAGCCACAGGGGAGAGCCGGTCCACAGGAAATTAGGAGTGTGACAAGATAAGACCCAGCGTTCATCTGATACTGTTTCCTGGCAACCAGTAAGAGCAGTGGAGAGTGACCAAAAAAACAATGTGTTGTAAAAGGTGCATGCTGAAGGAGTGTAATGGGTACACTGCCACATCAGCAAAGTCCCATTAAATTCACCTTCAGACTCCAAATGCTTCAAAACAACTCAAACAGCCAACACACCTACTTTTCTATAACTCATAAAAATAAGACCCTCTGTCTGGCTGCCTGTGGTGTGGACTGTGTCTGGTGAGTCGATATTTCACCATCATTCTTCAAAACAGAGACAGGAAGAAATGTGACTGTAGGCTTGTCTCACATCAGCAGATAAAGTGTTATTAAAGAAGCTGAGAGTCCCAACGAAACTCATAAAAACTTGCACAAAATCCTTCAATTTTTAATCTCGTGGAAGATTATGAAAAAGTGTCAAAAGCAAAACGAAGTAAGTTCAGATTAATCAGCTTTTCTCTGAAGCTACAAAGTTTTTTTATTGTGGCTCCAGACATGCCAGCAGGTTGGATTTAAGTGGAAACTGAAGAGTAACAGTGTAGTTTTTTAAACATACAGCAAATAGACGCAATATGGCGAACAAGCTATTCAAACCAACTCTGGGGATTAAACGTACCCAGGACCGTTCCCAGTTGGCAGAGGACAAAAGTGTTTTTATTCATGTCATGATCTGGCTGCTTACATAAACTTCAGTCTTTGTTGTTTGTTGTGGTGCAGTTTTCCTAGAAGCACACAACCCGGGTCTGGTCCCAGGACACATGGAAGCTAAAAAAAAACCCAGCAACCCTGCATTGTGTCCAACTCTCTCTCTATCTAAACATTGCATACATCTAATGTGAAATAGAAAACCGTAAAATAACCACACAAATTCACACCCAGTGAGAAGGTGATTATGTCTTACCTTACCCATAACTGAACATTACCATTTAGACAACATAAACAAGACTCCTGCAGGGATATGTATGCCGGCACTTCAGTCCTCATTCAACTCTTCTTCATTGAGCTTTGCAATAAAATGCAGTGAACAAACAGGGGAAGCAATAGCAGCAGCTAGCTACTAAGTAGTCCTCCAAAAATAGTCAAAGTGATGTTCAAAGATTTATTGTGAATCTAAATAAATAAGAACTTCTGCCTCTTAGGTATTTTACATACACTGCAACTTATCATCTACAGTTAGTAGCACCCTCTATTTCAAAATAAAAGCATGTTTTTACTGTAATAAATCAAGAATTTATAACAGCTGATTGAACTGGTTTGAATTTCGACTTATCATTCAGTGCCAATTTTTCCAGATTAATCGGTTGACAACCTTCTATCACGTGGTACTTGGTAGTATTATTAGATATGGCATGGCAGCTTAGTTTGGAACTCTCTCTGTCCGGCTCCAAACAAGAATAGCAAAAATTGAAGGAACAGCCATGAAGGTAATCGGTAGGAAGGACTCTTTATCTCTACAGATAATCTTTGAGGAAACAGTGCTTAGTCTGGCAACTAGAGTGCTGTCTGATCCTTCTCATATTCTATCAACAGAGTATGTGCTGCTACCTTCTGGTAGACATTACAGTGTGTGCCGTTGCAAGAGCTTTAAAAACTCTTTCCTCCCCTCTTCAATTGTTCTACTAAATAATCGGCACATAGTTCATAGCATAGACTGGATACACTATGGACAACTTGGTTACGCGTCCCACCTGTACACAGATTTGAAGCCAAAAAGCTCTCAGTATTTCTGCAATTTTTCTTCATTTCCTGAAACCAGCATTGTACAGTAGCGTTGTGCGCATTCAGCAGGAGAGTCGCCAAGAGTCGCTGTGATGACACTCGGCTCAAACAGCATATCCTGAGAGTGAGCCACGCAATCCCTGAACGCCAATTGGATGTATCAGGTGTCAATCATAGAAAACATGAACCCCCTGATAACTATTAAAAACGGAGCTTCACAGAAAAAAGAAATGACTTGAGCACCAACCAGTCTTACTGTAACTACATGTCAACACCACAAGCAGGGGGGAGAAACATTTATATTCTGTGTAATAAATTTCTAAAGTTTGTCCACAGCTCCATAAGCTTTGCTGGCGGAGGCAGGATTTATGACCTAAACTGCACCCCATCAACAGAGGGTGCTGTTCTCAGAGTGGCTTCACCCAGCGAGGAGGAAAATGCTGTCCATTCTGTATCTATGGTTCATAGCCCTTGTGTGGGAGGGTCCTCTTGACCACTGTCATTTGTTTATTTATTTGTTCACTTTCTGTGAATTATCTTGCTCTTTTGCACTTTTATATTTAAATTTTATACATTTTTAATTTTATGTGGACAGTGTAAACAAAGGGCCTGGGTTGTCTGTCTACCTATTATGGTTGTACAAATGCTGCCATTGTGTGTTGTCTGTCTGTGTTTTTAAACGTTTGTTGTGGAATAAGTGCACTTTGACCCAAGACAAATTTCCCCTCATGGGACAATTAAGTATATCTCATATCTCATCTCATCTCATCTCATCGACTCCCCTTGAGTTAATGATCTTGAAATAAGATGACAAATTTCCTGATTTTCCCGCTAGAGAAGTAAAGTGCTGAGCTGCACCTCGTTTCCTCAGTCAGATTCAGCTTACACAGAAGCAGAAACCAATATAACTCATCAGTCATACCATCTCACGTAGAGTTCATTCCACTTGGATTCTGCGGCTGAGCCATCAATCAGCCCTCCATCAGTGCTACAAAATCAGTGACTTTGATCCAGGCGGTCACCTACACCATTACTGCAGAGGTCAGATCTCATCTCCACAGCATCACTGGCATCATGAAACATAACGCTTTTGCATTTCATTCATCAATCCACCACATAACCCTCAGAGAATTAAGAACAAAACCTTTTTTTTATCTGGATGTTGGAGGTAATTTGCAGTCAGTTAGCTCGTGTGAATGGCAGACCTGGTTCTTGATTCACTGTTAAAAAAAAGACCCAGTGGGCTTAGGGGGATTTTCATTCAAGTGGAGATCCTGTGGCCTCTAAAAGCAACCTGCAGGCTGATGCAAACAAGGGTTGCATCCTGATTTTAATGTGAGCACAAGTGGCCAACAAGTAACCACATCGACAGCAGGTGTCATTATTAATTAGGACATGACAAGAGAGCATGAGTCGGGCTGAGAGGCAGCAAGATGAATGGTTCTGACAGGTGATTTTTCTCGTCTGTGGACATGCTGGAGAAAGTGAGCATCTGTGGGATTTCACAAATGAGTCTATTTCTGCAGGTTGTGCAGGGTGGAGGAGGTGGGACTCTAAGGGGTTAGACAGATAAGTCACACCATCAGTTTTTCCATCAATATTCTGCTCAGGCGGATGGAAGAGGATTAGATTCTTTTTGTTTGATGGGCTCAAAAATGTTTGTGACTTTGATAAGCATTAAAGTCACAGCTTAAGATCCTCTTACCAGAGGAAAAAAGAGAGACACAGAAAAAGGTACCTAGCGAAAAAACAGGACAGGAGTCGGTGAAAATAGATTAAAAAAAACAACCAAACAAACAAAAACTCTGACCTTCAGCTGCACATGTTTCTTACATGTGACAGACGATCTGCCAGAGACATTTAGTTTCCACATTTAACATTTTCTGTCCCCGTCACACTGACAGCAGGAGCATTTAGAAGAGCTGATGCCAATTTCTGCTGACATTCAGAGATCAACAGCTTTTGGATGCAATTTAGATTGCAACACAAACCGGCTATCATCCCCTAATGTCGTCATCAAAACAAAACAAACCGGAGCATGAAAAGGATTTGTGGGGAACTCATTCAGACTTTTCCACACAGTGTTCTGCCAATAAATATCACAGCATTTCAGAGGCACCCAAAATTGTCAGAAACACGACTGACTCAAAGCTATCTGCCGCTGAAAAATAGGCTGTCTGACTGAAGATAACTTTGATGTACTACAAATAGTCTTCTGATAAAACTAAACTTATCTCTTTACATGTTTAACAACTTCTTTCTGCTTCTTTCAACTTTTACAGTTTAAATAGACTTTATTTTGTTTAATTCAACACAAGAAATCTCTACAACTTGCAGCTGATTACTATAAATGCAAAATTTCTGATTTCAATGTACTTTATTTCACATTTAGATACAATAATATCAGTCGACCTGATTGAATAAATGAGGAGAGGAGCTAAGATTTTAAGAGAAGACAAAACCAGAGTTTTACCTTTAAAATACGACAATCAATCAATCCACCTTTATTTATATAGTGCCAATTTACAACAATGTGTTATCTCAAGATGTTTTACAAAAGATCTGGTCCAGACCAGACTCTCTATACAAAGACCCAATGTAAAAATGGGATAAGACTGACTCCCGTCTTTTAAGAGCAGACCCACTCACATCCATTTTTCAACCAAATGAGTGGAACACTTTATTATCAAGTTACAGTGGGGAGAGAGATCTTCCTTTAACAGGCGGAAACCTCAAGAAGAACCAGGCTCGTGTAAGATAGTCATCTGTTGTGACTGAGCTGGGTTTAGAGATGAGAGAGAGAGACTCAAATGGGACATTATGTTTTGAAGTTGATGACACAGCTAGCAAGAGGATGGAGATGGAGGGAAAGATGCTTAATGTGCTCCCAGCAGTCTCAACTCAAATCAGCTGCATCTGCTAGATTTACAGAGTATTTCATGTCATTGTAGGAGAGTACCAGAAAGTGTGACAAACAATCATGGCAGATGATTATTTTAGCCACCAGAAAAGAGAAAGGTGGCAGCTTAAAATGAAATAGGAGCAATATTCCCGTAGCTAATGTTGGATTCTAGGAAAAAGAGAACATAATTCAGCATAGCTGTTTTGTTATTTATGGGAAACCCTCCAGATTGAAAACCATGTGCCTGAGTAATCCATCCACACCCTGTTCTAACTCAGACTTTCTCCTAGTTCTCTTTATTCCAGACTTTTTCTTGCAGCTTTGTTTGTTGTGAAAACAAACTTGATGTGTGTGTTCACAAAAGGGTAAATGTGAATGATTACTTGTTTTCAACAACTGAAGGAGAAAAAGAAATAAAACCTGGTGGAGAAATAAAAGAGCTTCTGTCTGGTAAAAGGAAAATTCAATAAATATGAAATCTGAAGATCTCATTGGAGATATTAACAACATTCAGTTTGTCATAAACCAAGAGATAACTCACATGATGCTCGTAACAACTTTTTTTATGATCTGTGACGGTGCACAAGTCATGACTGCTAGGGAAGAGTGATTGACAGGTAACCGGGACTTTGCATTAACAGAAGTGAAGATACATGACAGAATCTCAAAGTCAAAAGTCAAAGTCAGCTTTATTGTCAATTATGCTATACAACAGCATACAGCATATATGAAATCACAGTCCTCTCGGACCCGCAGTGCAAATAGCAGGGTAGAAAAAGACAGAGAGAAAAAAAAAGGTAATAAGTCAACAAAATTACACTTAATACTACAATAAATAAATGATATATACAATGTACAATATACAGTAGAAACTCTGTGGTCAAGAAAACATTCTGTGGATCGTTGGATCGTTGAATAGTGCAATGTAGAGCGGGATAGCGCAAATTGAGTACAATAGAGTCTGTAACCCAGAGTCAGTGGTGGACAGAGGATGGGGGGAGTGGGAGCAGAGCAGGGAGGGAGTTGAGCATCCTGACTGCCTGGTGGAAGAAACTGTCCTTGAGCCTGCTGGTTCTGGCTCTGAGACTCTGACTGACATCTTCTTTACATTCTTCTGTTTTCATCCGCTTTAGTCTGGTTTTGAGAGTCAGGAGATAATCACACTAAACAGGCTGAAAAGTGAGAGCAGCCTGGAGAATCATTGTGCCCCACTCATCTCTGATTGGGAGGACTGGAGTTAGACTCTGTCCCGCCATCCTGGCAAAAGCAGCAGACACGAGGAGTTCATCTCTCAGCTGCGAATCACTAAAAGTAATGAAAACCTTCAGGTAGCAACAATATCTAAAGTCGGAATGTGAATTTAGAGTTTGAATCGTGGAGTCTACTTTCAGATGAATAAATCAATCATTTTCAAATCAATAAAATCCTCACCTAAATCAATATTTGTGTTAACTTGTGGTTGGTAGCAGAGACGTAAGTAGTAATGATCCTTGTGTTTTGTTGCTTTGACTCTAATTTTTACATTACAGAGCGGCAAGGGGAAAGATACAAATGTTTTGTGACAAGCCCTCCCTCTGCCAGCCTGATCTGTTACACGTCCTTGAAGGCATCTGATGTTTAGCAGGGTGCCGTGCTCAGCCGCCATGGGTGCTGCCACAGCAACACTATCACTTAAAAGATACTTGTCGCTCTACATCACGTATCAGGTCTTCCTCTCCACATGAAACCTCTCGCTCCTTCTCTGCTTGACCACAAAAAAAAAAAAAAACTGCTTTTCTTTTCTGCAGTAACCATTCCTTTAGTGAGTACACACACACAGTCAGGCTCCAGCTTGTTTCAGCCAAAAAGTTTGTGATATGAACTGTGCACGATGAGAGTCCAACTGCTTCACAGACAACTCTGCCAAACTGAAGTTCAACACAGTTTTGTTTTTGTTTTTTTAAGTTAAATGCCAGTATGTCTGAGCAATTCATTTTAGCTTACATCCAAATGGCAACTTTGAGTATGTAGATGTTTAAAGGCATAAAATTAAGTCATGGTCAAACACACCGTAACACTGAGTTAGACATGCCCCTCAAGAGATGAATGTTGCCAACTGTTTGCTTCTCTAGTTATACCAACTTTAGTAACGACCGAGTGGTCTATGGATCCACGCCAAACCTCAACAAAAAAGCCACTCTATAGCCACAAATAATGCTCAGAACAGCACCTAACTTCATCAACAGTACATATAGGGTCCCAGCCATAGTACT